GCCGGATACTCCCTATTTCTTCCCAGCCAGAGAAACTCGTTATCTAACTTCTGTCAAGGTCTTTTCTCTCTCTACCTCTCTGTCTCTTACAACAACAATTCCAATACACAATTGAACATAACAGAATCCATCTTGAATACATATGAACACCATTCTTAATCATATAGAAACACATTGAAAAAACATACATGCATACCTTCAATAATCCTGGCAATCTGTTTCGAGGGATTGGATGGTGTCTTCCCTTATGACAGAAGGGAGGTTGTACTTTCAAATTTTGTTACATACTGATCAAGTTTTATTCAATGCTTAGACCATAGGTCTTTCACATAGAAGGCAAACAAATAAATGCATAACATTAGTATTATATTTATTTAAGTCCCATTTTCCTCTATTAAGCAAGATCCAAAGATAGTCCTTTCTTTCTCTCTATAGGTTTTTTATGTATTTTCCACCAATAATAATAATAATAATAATAATAATAATAATAATAACAACCACAACTTTTATTTATTGTGCACCTCTCCTGATGGCTTAAGGGTACAAGCATGTGAGCATAATATAATATACTAGCTGTCCCCTGCCACACGTTGCTGTGGCCCAGTCTGGTGATCTGGAAAATAAAGTAATGAGAAAGTGTTGGTTTCTATTATATGTAATTTCTTTATGCTTGTGGGTAAACAGTATTTCTTGTTGTTTCTTTGTCAGTGCTGATGTGGAGATTGTTTGGTTTGCTTACTCTGGATCATGCAACATATAATTGTCCTGCTTTAGGGGTCCCTTTCAAATCTATGATACTATATCTGTCATATACGTGTATATGTGTGTTTGTGTGTGAATCATATATAGTATTTTCTGTTGGTCATGGAGGTTCTATGTGGGAAGTTTGGCCCAATTATATCGTTGGTGGGGTTCAGTATGCTCTTTGTATGTAGATTAACTATAAATCCCAGCAACTACAACTCCCAAATGTCAAGGTCTATTTTTTCCAAACTCCATCTGTGTTCACATGCAGTCATATTGACTATCTGTGCCAAGTTTGGTCCAAATCCCTCACTGTTTGAGTCCACAGTTCTCTCTGGATGTAGGTAAACTACAACTCCAAAATTCAAGGTCAGTGCCCACCAAATCCTTCTAGTATTTTCTGTTGGTCAAGGGAGTTCTTTGTGCCAAGTTTGGTTCAATACCAATGTTGGTGGAGTTCATAATGCTCTTTGAGTGTAGGTGAACTATAAATCCCAGTAACTACAACTCCCAAATGTCAAGGTCCATTTCCCCAAACTCCACCTGTGCTCATATTTGGGTATATGGAATATTCGTGCTGAGTTTGGTCCAGACCATCATAGTTTGAGTCCACAGTGCTCTCTGGATGTAGGTGAACTATAATTCCCAAACTCAAGGTCAATGTCCACCAAACCCTTCAAGTTTTTTCTGTTGGTCATGGGAGCCCTGTGTGCCACATTTGGTTCCATTCCATCATTGGTGGAGTTCAGAATGCTCTTTTATTGTAGGTGAACTATAAATCCCAGCAGCTACAACTCCCAAATGACAAAATCATATTTTTTGAGTGATGGTCATTCCTTGTGTTGTGAAACGTTTTGTTCCCAAATTTGGTGTGATTTTGTTCATTGGTTCTTTTGTTTTTAAGGAACTCATTATGCACTGAGCATTTATATATATAGATAGATAGATAAGTAATGAATTACATAGATAGAAAGATTGCGCAATGACTGAGGACACGTTCTGTCTCCGTCGAAGCTGATAGAAAGAGGGAACTTTCCCTCTTGGTTCCCCTTGGATAGCCCTAATTCCAGCAAGGCCTTGAGTCTAATGCAGCCTTTCTGTGGCCAAAAGTTACATCATAAAAAGGAAGAGGAACAACACCCTTGAACCAACCATATGAATCAGTGCCATCGAAATTTCCGTTGCTTTCTCCTCCTGCGTACTTGCCATAATATCTTTTGGTACTTTGCTTCTTTTCGATTTGTGCCCATGCGGTAAGAGTCTTATTGCTCTTTAAGGAGTTTCCCTAGTTGAAAGGCATCGTGATATAGTTCCAAATTCAGTATCTCTTGAGAACTGTGAACGAACCTGCAGTAAAATCCTCGGTATATATTTTTTTGCTATTTTCTCAATTTTTTCCGTACACGTTTCGAACGGGATTGTACTACAGTGTTCCCTCGCTATTTCGCAGTTCGCTTTTTGCGGACTCGCTAATTCACGGGTTTTTGCCGCCTGGCAATGATGGAGTGTGGAAGGGGGTTTCACCCTCCCCCTCGAGAGAGAGAGGCAGCCAGTCATAAAAGAGAGAGAGAGAGAGGCAGAGAGAAGTTACAAAGCAGTACAAATCACAGCCTTATAGCCCCTTCCTTATAGCTAGCAAAAATAAAAAATAAGATGTGTGGTACCTTTACCTCTCTCCTCGCTTCTGCCTCGCCCTTGGAATGTGAGATAGATATGGATATCTATATAAATAAAAATGTAATGTTTGTTTGTGGGATTAGCAGAACTTAAAAACCACTGGGCGAGTTGACACAATACACCTATCAGGCCAACAAATGTCCAGTCATAAAAACATGGAAAAAACACAGCGGAAGGGACTTAAGTCCAAAAAAACCCCAAAATACATTACAACGCATGCATAAAACCACACACATATATACACAAAACACATATATACACACATATATGTATATATACACACACAAAACACATACACAGAAAAGGGGGAAGGAAGGAAGGAGAGAAGGAGGGAGAGAAGGAAGGAAAGAATGAAGGGTAGAGAAGGAAGGAGAGAGAGAAAGAGGGAAAGAAGGAGGGAAGGAGAGAGAGAAGGAGGGAGAGAAAGAGGGAAAGAAGGAGGGGAGAAGGAAATAAAAAAGTGAAAGAGGGAAGGAAGGAGAGAAGGAACGAAAGAGAGAAAGAGGGAGGGAGGGAGGGAGGGAGGGAGGGAGGGAGGGAAGGAAGGAAGGAAGGAAGGAAGGAAGGAAGGAAGGAAGGAAGGAAGGAAGGAAGGAAGGAGACAAGGAAGGATGGAACCAAAGGGCAAAGCAAGAAAAGAAACAGGTAAAGAAGGAAGAAAGAAAGGAAAGAAAAAGAGGGAGGGAAGGAAAGAGGGAAGGAATGAGAGAAAGAGGGAGGGAAGGTTGGCCACAGCAACACATGGCGGGTACAGCTAGTACATATATATATGGTCCCTATTTGCGGATTTTCACTTTTCGCGGGTGGTCGTGGATCGTAACACCTGTGATAAGTGAGGTAACACTGTAAATACAAGCGTTGGGAGAATATGTGCTTTGACAGCTGCTCTTTTTGCCCAGTAAGTGATAACTTTAGTTCGTGCCATGCCTTTTTACTGCTATATTGATATACTACTATAATGACTTGAGTCTAATGCACCATCGAATCTTGATGCACACCTCCATTTTCAAAATCCGTTACCAAACTATAAATCCCAGGGTGGCATAACATTGAGTCAGTGCAATTAAATGAGAGATGAGATCCCTTAAAGAGGAGCTTCTGAAGCAGCTTCACCTTTGACTGGCTCACCCTATGACAGCGTCACTGTATAATGCAAATCTAATGTGTATCCTAACTTTAGCAAGGTCAAAGGTGAGCATTAGATTCAAATAATTAGGGTATTTGTGTCATCATCTTTGCCATGGCATGGCAGCTCTTTCCCCATTCATTTTTGTGACCTATCCGCTCTTTCTGGATGCCGTCCGTCCGCACAGAGATAGGATTTGCTGAGCTCAGGTTGGAGTCTCATCCAGGAATTATTAAAACTTTTGGGCAAACAGATCAGTGCCAAAAAAAATGTTATTGGGCTGCGTAATTGCTAAAGGGAACCACTATTCCTCACATCTTTTTCCTTGGGAAATCCATGGAAGGGGAGCAAGGATACAGACAGGGGAAAGAAGAGGAGAGGTAAACCCTATAATTATAATTATAATTATGCAGAGACTGGATGGTCATCTGTTGGGAGGGATTGGATGGTGTCTTCCCTTATGACAGAAGGGGGGTTAGACTTTCAAATTTTGTTACATACTGATCAAGTTTTTTTCGATGCTTAGACCATAGGAGAGGTAAACCCTTTTATTATTATTATTATTATTATTATTATTATTATTATTATTATTATTTGCAACATTTCTACCCCGCCCTTCTCAACCCCCGAGGGGGGACTCAGGGCAGCTTACACCGGCAACAATTCGATGCCACAAGATAATACAAATATAAACAAATATAACAACAGTTTAAAACAGTAAATAAAACAGTAAGTTAAAAACAATTAAAAATATTATTATTAGCCATATAACCATTTCCAGTCCAGTTCAACCACCAAAGTGCTGTCATGCCTGCTGTCCAAAGGCACCTGTTTCTTTGCTGTTTTTTTGCTGTGGTGAACATACATATGTGTGTAAGGTGGGACAAAAGATTTTTGTCTGCTGGAGCTTGGTGTGAATGTTTCAACTAATCAAGGTGATCAGTTGAAACATTCACACCTAGCTCCAGCAGACAAGACTCCTTTGTCTCACCCTGGTCATTCCACAGATATATAAACCCTTTCTCCTACTTCCAACAGACCTCACTACCTCTGAGGATGCTTGCCATAGATGCAGGCGAAACGTCAGGAGAAAATGCCTCTAGACCATGGCCATATAGCCCAGAAAACCTACAACAACCCAATAATAATAATAATAATAATAATAATAATAGTTACCTGACTCTTCTCATGGTTCAAGGCAAAGGTACAAAATACTTTAAAAATAGAATGCCATAAAAGTACGTATATTAAAAACACAGGTTCAAACTCCAATACTCATAAAAAGGTAAATTCAGTTTATGTTTGTGAGCTACTGTTGATCTCCTTTCTTTCTGGTTTCTCTGCTGTGATCTGCTGCTGGTCTAATCTCTTTCTCTTTTTCTCTCTCTTTTTCTTTCCTTCCTTCTTTCCTTCCTTTGTTCCTTCCTTCCGCATCCATCATCCGGGCTACCAGTACAAGTCCGTGTTCAGGTCTTTCTCGCAAGACTTTGTGCCTCGCAACCAAGTCTCCATCCCGCCTTTCCTCTCCTCCACTACCTCTGCCGCCGCCATTGCTGCCACTTCCTCCTCTTCCTCCTCCTCGCCTTTGCCCTTTGCCCTCGCCCACCCCCAGCCTGTGATTTCTGACCTGGCCGGACACCCCTCCGCGGACGCCACCGCTGCCGTGTCCAGCCCCGCTTCCTCTTCGCAGGAGAGCGGCTCTAACGGGACGGCTCCGGCTTGCCTTCCGTCTGAACCCCCTTTCGCCGCCTCCCTTCAGACGTCTTTGGTGAGGAGGCACTTCTTGCTTGGCTTCTTATGCTTCAGGTTCGGGATGCAGTTGGGGCAAATCGGGATTCCGTGGGCCTGCGGAGAGTTGCCTTTTTGTGGGTTTCCCGGGAAGTAAAGTGTCAAGGAGGCCCAGGGAAGGACTTGGACCCTCCTTGCAAAATCCAGTCCTCTCTGAGCACCTCCCTCCCAGTTCCATTTCACCGCAGGAGGCTACCTCACCCATCCAAACCTCTTTCCCTTTTAGTCCACCATGTCCCCCACTTCCTGAGTGTTAAGGATACCTAGGAGAATAGCCATGCTTCCAGGGCGCCAATCTTCGAGAAGGACATGGACAGGATGGAAGTGTCACCAAATTGCCTAAGGTCTAGGCACCATGAGTCCCCTGTGATGAGTGGGTCCTTTGATTCCCTTCTGAGAAGTGGATCCCACAAATCCCTGTGAGGAGTGGATCTCAAGAGTCCCCTGTGGGGAGTGGATCCCATAAGGAGTGATTCCTACAAATCCATCTGACAAGTAGATCCTATGAATCCTAAGAAGTCGATCCTATGAGTCTCCTCTGAGGAGTGGATCCCACGAATCCCTGTGGGGAATGGATCCCATGAGGAGTGATTCCCACAAATCTATCTGAGGAGTAGATCCCATGAGTCCTCTGGAAAGTGGGTCTTATGAGTCTCCTCTGAGGAGTGGATCCCATTAATCCCTGTGAGGAGTGGATCCCATAAGGAGTGATTCCCACAAATCCATCTGACAAGTAGATCCCATGAGTCCTTTCTAAGAAGTGGATCCTATGAGTCCCCTCTGAGGAGTGGATCCCACAAATCCCTGTGGGGAGTGGATCCCATGAGGAGTGATTCCCACAAATCTATCTGAGGAGTAGGTCCCATGAGTCCTCTGAGAAGTGGATCTTATGAGTCCCCTCTGAGGAGTGGATCCCATTAATCCCTGTGAGGAGTGGATCTCAAGCATCCCCTTTGGGGAATGGATCCTATAAGGAGTGATTCCCACAAATCCCTCTGAGGAGTTGATCACATGAGTCCCCGTGAGTGGATCCCGTGAGTCCCTTGCGAGAGGTGGATCCCATGTGCCCCTCTGGGAGTAGACCCCCTGAGTCTCTCTGATGAATAGATCCCTTGACTCCCCTGCGAGGAGTGAATCCCACAGGTCCCCGCTGGCGAGTGGATCCCATGAGTCCCCTGCGAGAAATGGTTCCCACAAGGAGTGGATCCCACGAGTCCCTCTGTGAAGAATAGATCCTATGACTCCCTCTGAGAAATTGATCCCACGAGCCCCCCATGATAAGGTGGTCCCACGAGTCCCTATTAGGAGTGGATCGCATGAGTCCCCTGTGGAAGTGGATCCCACGGATTCCTCCAAGGAGCGGCCAAGGGAGACGGGGGTGTTCGTCTTGGAGAAGGCTGAGAGCCACAAGAGCCACATCTCCACATTGGAAAGGGGGTCCCATTGAGGGGGCAATCTGTTTCCCTTTGTGCTGTGATGCAATCCAGCAATGGATTCACACAGCAGGGAAAGAGTGAAATACTCTCATCTCAGCGTTGAGAGTAGGATACAGGGCGACTAAAATGATCAAGGGTCTGGAGAACAAGCCCTATGAGGAACGGCTTAGGGAACTGGGCATGTTTAGCCTGAAGAAGAGAAGGCTGAGAGGAGATATGATAGCCATGTATAAATATGTGAGAGGAAGCCACAGGGAGGAGGGAGCAAGCTTGTTTTCTGCTTCCTTGGAGACTAGGACGCGGAACAATGGCTCAAACTACAAGAGAGGAGATCCATCTGAACATTAGGAAGAACTTCCTGACTGTGAGAGCCGTTCAGCAGTGGAACTCTCTGCCCCGGAGTGTGGTGGAGGCTCCTTCTTTGGAAGCTTTTAAACAGAGGCTGGATGGCCATCTGTCAGGGGTGATTTGAATGCAATATTCCTGCTTCTTGGCAGGGGGTTGGACTGGATGGCCCATGAGGTCTCTTCCAACTCTTTGATTCTATGATTCTATGAATCCACGGGACTCCCCTTCTCAGGATGGATTTCGGTCAGTGGAACCTTAATCAGGCCGAGCCCCCCCCCCCCCCGCCGCCCTTCGTCTGCGCTTGTCCCAGAAAGACCGAGCAGGAGGAGGAGTGCTTGGCCAGGGGTCTTGGTCTGTGTGTTCGACCGGACCCCTCTACCCCCCCACACACACCCACACAATAGCCACAGTTCCCCATGGCCAGCCCTCACTCCCTGTCCCCCACCCCTTGCTGTCTCCCGCTGCAGAGCGACCAGGTCCCGGCGCCCGGCGAGGAGGCAGGGGAGGGGGAGTACGTCAACCTCTATTCCTCCGGCCAAAGCAACGGGGAACTCCCTCGCTCTGGAGGAGGAGGAGTAAGTAGCGATGGGGGGGGGGGCTTCTTTTGCATATTGGGCAGTGGGGGGGATCCACATGCAGAGGAGAGCAGGGCCTCACTTGCTGTGGAGGGGGATGCTCCTCTTGCGCTTCCGGAAAGCCTTTCCCCAGCCCTGCGGTGCTCATTCAGGACTTCTGCTCCCTGCTGCTTTGCACATTGTTGTCGTTGTTATTATCATTGTATTACATGTACTACCTGAGGTATCCTGTGGTGCTCGAGTTAGGCCTTTGTAATGCTATTTCTAGATAGATAGGTCTGTTTATCGATTAGTCCACTAACCATATCAACAATCAAAAACGAAAAAAGCAACTCTTGTCAAGCCGATGAACTTCTCAGACTGATTCTTTTACACCCGTCACTCTCCTTCCTTGGCTTTCATCTTGTAATTAAATCCCATTTTACCAAACTTAAAATTTAATCAATCGTGTTTTATTTGGGGATTGAAAAGGGTGGATTAGAAATGCTAGAAAATAAATATTTTTTAGCTAACTTCTAGCCATCCTGTGCCACGTGTTGTTGTGGCCCAGTCTGTGTATATGTGTTTTGTGTGTGCATATATGTGTATAGTGTTCCCTCACTTACCACAGGTGTTACGTTACAGGACCACCCACATAAAGTGAAAATCCGCAAAGTAGGGATAGATAGATAGATAGATAGATAGATAGATAGATAGATAGATAGATGATAGATATTTACAATCTCACGTCAGCAAATAGCATCTCAAGCATTTTTGGTGTGTAGTCAGCCGCTGCGTAAATATGCTATTTACTGTAAATCATAAATATATAAATTACTGAACAACACGTACTACACATATGCAGAACGAGTACCGCAAAACAGAAAAATACTGTGATAAATATTTTACATAAATTTTTATTGAAAAACCACGAAATAGTGAGTCCGCGAAAAGCAAACTGCAAAGTAGCAAGGGAACATTGTATATGTGTGTATATGTAATTTTTCGCATGTGTTGTCATGTATTTTTTATTTCTTGGCTTTTTAAGTGCCTTCTGCTGTGTTTTTCAGTGTTTTGATGAGTGATGGTCACTTGTTGGCCTGATAGGTGTACTGTGTCCAACTTTGGTGTCAATTCGTCCAGTCGTTTTTTAGTTACGTTAATCTCACAAATGAACATTACATTTTTATTTATATAGATTACAGGAGTTTTAGGATAGTGATTAGGGTTTGCATTTTTGTTTTTGTCTCTTATTGTTGATAGGGTCAGTGGCCTAAACAATAAACAGACCTATCTGCTGTTTATAAGAAATAGTCATCGTAGGCGTTTGCTTTTTATAAATGCTCCGGTTGTTAAATGCATAAAGATGTGGGGGGAACTACAACTCCCAAAATTCAAGGTTATTTCCCTCCAAACCCTGTGGCGTAATGTAAAATAAACCACGTGTAGTTCATGTTTGATCAGCCCACACACTGCCTTGCCAGAGAAAGAAAATATGCCATGCAGGTGAATAATAAAGAACAAATAGTTCTTTTGTTCAAGTCTGAACAAAAATGTAACAGTAACCAAAAATCCCAGGCTCAGCTGGCTTCCCAGGAATAATCAGCTTCGTGCATCTTATTTTACCGTCCTTTTATGAGAGATTTAAAATAGTCTTTTGTCCATGTGGATAAACTCCTTCAGCAGCTCATGAAGTGAGAGCACACTCCAAATTCTGTCTCTCTCTCTCTCTGCTTCTCTCTTCTTCTCTCTCTGCACCTGCATAGCTCAAGTCTGAACAAAAATGTAATGGTAACCAAAAATCCCAGGCTCAGCTGGCTTCCCGGGAATTGCCCGACCAATCAGCTTCATGCATCTTATTTTACAGTCCTTTTATGAGATATTTAAAATGGTCTTTCTTTGGCTATGTGGATAAACTTCTTCAGCAGCTCAGGAAGCGAGAGCACACGCAAACTCTATCTCTCTCTGCACCTGCATAGCTCAAGTCTGAACAAAAATGTAATGGTAACCAAAAATCCCAGGCTCAGCCTGCTTCCCGGGCATTGCCCAACCAATCAGCTTCATGCATCTTATATTACAGTCCTTTTTATGAGAGATTTAAAATGGTATTTCTTTGTCCATGTGGATAAACTCCTTCAGCAGCTCATGAAGTGAGTAAAGGAAAGTTTTTCCGGTGACTTTAAGTCCAATCGTGTCCGACTCTGGGGTTGGTTCTCATCTCCATTTCTAAGCTGAAGAATTGGGGGTGTCCGTAGACACCTCCAAATAAAAATAAGATGCATGAGCTGATTGGTCGGGCAATGCCCGGAGGCCCAGCTGAGCCTGGGACTTTTGGTTACCGTTACATTTTTGTTCAGGCTTGAGCTATGCAGGTGCAGAGAGACGAAGAAAGAAGCAGAGACGGAGTTTGAAGTGTGCTCTCTTTTTTGTTCAGAGTTTGAAGTGTGCTCTCTTTTTTGTTCAGAGTTTGAATTGTGCTCTCTTTCTTGTTCAGAGTTTGGAGTGTGCTCTCTTTCATGTTCAGAGTTTGGAGTGTGCTCTCTTTTTTGTTCAGCTCAAGCCTGAACAAAAATGTAACAGTAACCAAAAGTCCCAGGCTCAGCCTGCTCCCTGACCATTGCCCAACCAATCAGCCTCATGCATCTTATTTTAAAGTTGACACATACACTTGCATGCTCCAACAAACCCCACCCGTACTTAGAGGTGTTTATATTAGGTCTGTGTGTCAAATTCCTTCGAGATCCATTGTTGGCGGGAGTCACAATGCTGTCTAGATGTGGGAGCCATCTTGGAAATTGTCCGTAAACACACATACAAACATATTATGATTATTATAAATTATTATTTATTATATGTTATAAATTATTATTATTATTATTATTATTATTATTATTATTAGCCTCTGGGAGGGCTGGAGAACATTTGGTATCTTTAGCAAGGCATTATTTATTATATGTTCTCCAGCCCTCCCAGAGGCTAATAATAATAATAATAATAATAATAATAATAATAATAATAATAATAATTTATATTATTATTAGCCTCTGGGAGGGCTGGAGAACATTTGGTATCTTTAGCAAGGCACAGTCTAGCAAAGCCTGCTCTGTCTGTATCTGAACTTATAGTTGGAAACATGAGAGGAGACATGCAGCAGGAGGGCCCAGGTGAGCTTGAAGAAGGGCAAATTGGTGTGCGGGCACCACTTCTGCCCATGAGGCCTTGCACCAAAGCAACTCCTCCTTTCTCTCCTCTTCATTTATCGTTCTGAGTACAGTTTGTGGAGATTTCTCCATCTCCCTTGTTTCTCCACTTCCCTTTTCTATATGTATACATCGCCGCGCTGAGCCTTCTCTTCTCCTCTTTGGTCTCCCTCAGTCTCTTGTTTCCTGCTTCCTTCGACCACATTGGTTTCGGAGAGGCTTTATTGGGAAGGGGATCTATTGGGAGAAGAAAAGGTGCTCTACAATGCAGCACTGTCGGTTCCTTTTTAGTTTCCTCCCCTTGGTATTTTTTCTCATTGCATGAAATAAGACACACAAATGCTCCTTTTGTTGGGGAATGTGTTGACTTTAGTCTCGTGTTGTAAGTTTTATATAGCAATATTAAATGATCACTCACAAGCCGGTTTTGCTTGGAAATGAATATATTGCTTGTATATTCAAATCTACAGCTCAGCTCAATTTTAACAACCCTGAAACCAAAACAAAGGATTTGCTGCCGTTGCTTTTGAAATGGGACCGACCTTGAGTCTGTCACCATAATGACTCAGTTCTATGCGAGAGTTTCTCAAAATGTAACTTGGGGTTGCCCTCCTTGCTCCCAGTGTGTTTGAGATCTGCGAGTGCATTCGGGCTCCCAGTGTTTTCGAGATCCGTGAGTGCATTCGGGCGCATGCTGAGTTGCCTCCTTAACAAGTTCTGGCTTCCCGTTGACTCCCAGCTCTGTCCCTTTCTTCCAGGAGTCGCCGGTGATCAGAGACAGCCATGCAAAGAACCCAACCTCCTTGAGCAACAGCCTTCCCGGGAAGGAAAGCCAAGAGGAGAGTGACAGGTGAGGCTCTGAAACATTGGCTCTTACCTGGAGACGTTACCAAGGCCTTAGAGCAGCAGTTCGCAAACTGTGCTCCGGGAAGCCCTTTGGGTTCTGCGAGAAGTGCTCAAGGGCTCCATGGGTGCCCCACCTTCTCTGTTGTTTCTCTTGTTGTTGTTATTGGGTTGCTGTTCGTTTTTTGGACTGTCTGGCCATGTTCTAGAAGCATTCTCTCCTGACGTTTTGCCTGCATCTGTGGCGGGCATCCTCAGAGGTTGTGAGGTGTGTTGCAAACAAGGAAAATAGGGTTTATATATCTGCGGATTGCTGAGTTGTCTTCTTGGCAAGCTCTGGTTTCCGTTGACACCCAGCTCTGTCCCTTTCTTCCAGGATTATTATTATTATTGACACAAAAGCACAGTATGTTACAGCAAACGAGATCTATATGCTGGATTTCGTATCACAAAATCACAAGTCGAACACTTCCCAAGCGTCTAGGACTGTGTGATGTATTATTACATTACACGCTCCCTTCGTTCATCTGGAGAGGCCCTGCTCATGATTCCACCTGCGTCGCAAGCGCGGTTGGTGGGGACGAGGGACAGGGCCTTCTCTCTGGTAGCCCCCCGACTCTGGAACGCCCTCCCCAAGGACATCAGACAGGCCCCCACGTTGGCAGTCTTTTGGAAGAGCTTGAAGACTTGGCTATTCCGGTGTGCCTTTCCAGAATAGGAAACCCCAGCAATATGTCCCAGAAGCACTTTACTAAGAGACCTAAGATTGTCCGCACATTGTACTTACCCAAAAATCCTTATATTTCAACTGTCATACTCAGCACTTTTAATCTGTACCCATTTACACTTGGCCCGGCCTTAGTTTTATTGTGCTATGGTGTACTGTTTTTACTGTTTACTGTTATTGCTTTAATGTTTTGATTTGCTTTATGGTTTATGTGTATTGTTGTTTTATTGAGGCCTTGGCCTTTGTAAGTTGCATCAAGTCCTTCGGGAGATGTTAGCGGGGTACAAATAAAGTTAATAATAATAATAATAATTATTATTATTATTAAAAGGTTGGATGGCCTTCTGTTGGGGGTGCTTTGATTGTGCCTTTCCTGCATGGCACAAGGGGGTTGGACTGGATGGTTCTGGAAATCTCCCACTGAAATACTGTTAAGTTTATGTTGGTAATATTGCTCTTTGTTTAAAATATTCTATTTTGTTTTATTGCACTGAGTGAATTAGTTCACACAAACACTGAGAGTATACACAAACAAAACGCATATGCAGTAATCCCTCATTTATCCGTTCCAGGACCACCCGCAATAAGTGAAGATCTGCAAAGTAGGATCTTCTTTGCAGCGGTCTCCTCCTCACCACCTCCGCTGCTCCATGTCATGGAGAATCCCTTCCTCGCCAGGCTGGGCACCCAAGCCTGGTGCCCAGCCTGGCGAGGAAGGAGAGCGGAGCAGCGGAGAGGCGAGGGGGAAGCCGCCGCCTCTGAGGCCCTCTTTGGCAGCGGCCCCCTCCTCACCACCTCCGCTGCTCCGTGACACAGAGGGTCCCTCCATGCCTCGGAGCAGCGGATGGGCGAGGGGGAAGCTGCCGCTGCTGAGGCCTCTTTGGCAGCGGTCTCCTCCTTGCCACCTCCTCTGCTCCGTGCAATAGAGGGTCTCTTCCTCACCAGGCTGGGCGCCCAAGCTTGGCACCCAGCCTGGCGAGGAAGGAGCGCGGAGCAGCGGAGGGGCGAGCGGGAAGCCACCTCCAAGGCCCTTTTCAGCAGCGGCCTTCTACTCTTCACCACCTCCGCTGCTCACCGCCTTGGAGGGTCCCTTCCTCGCCAGGCTGGGCACCCAAGGCAACCCAGTTTGGCGAGGAAAGGAACGGGGAGCAGTTATACAGTGTTCCCTCGCTGCTCTCCGCGATATAATGAGTCCGCAATAAGCGGACCGCAAAGTAGCAAGGGAACACTGTACACAGACTGGGCCACAGCAACATGTGGCAGGGGACGGCTAGTATAATATATAAGCATTTCTTGGGACTCCACAATTAACTTCCTCTTCAAAAAGGGCTCCATAGCTGAAAAAGTTTGGCTTAGAGTTACGTTCCCAGCAAAGCTCCTACGTGTCATGTGAAAACGTCTCAAGGGGAAAGAGGTGGAAGGGGTTCAAGAAGTCCTGGGTTGGATCAAAGTGAACCTCTTCTGGCTGTGAACGGTTCCTGGCGTAAACCTTGGCAGCCAGTGAGCTTCCAACCAGAGGGCTTGCTCTTCTGAATGTCACTTCCTCTTGTGCTGCTTCCCACAGGCAGCAGAAGGCGCCTGACGAGGCTCTGGCCCCTTCCCGGCTGGACGAGGAAGAGGAAGTGGATGAGCTCTCACTGACCGATCACAACGAGATCATGGCCCGGCTGACCCTCAAGCAAGAGGTCAGTAGGGTGTCGTGTGTTTTTGTGTTGTTTCCGGGCAGGACGTAATTTCTAGGGAAATTCCTTGGCTACGGTGGTCCACGCTCTCGTTACATTTAGGATAGACTACTGCAATGCGCCCTATGTGGGGTTGCCTTTGAAGACTGTTTGGAAGCTTCAGATAGTTCAACGAGAGGCAGCCAGGGTAATAACTGAGGCGACATACTCGTACGTCAGCTCCACGGGCTGCCTGCTTGTTACCGGGCACAATTCCAAGTGCTGACTTTGGCCTATAAAGCCCTAAACGGCCCTGGTCCAGTTTACCTATCTCCCTTTACGAACCACCACGAAGACTAAGATCTTCTGGGGAGGCCCTGCTCTCGGTACCATCACCGGTGCGTTTGGCAGGGATGAGAGACAGGGCCTTCTCAGTGATCCCCCCCCCCCCCCCCCCCCCCCGGTTATGGAACTCCCTTTCTGGCAATATTAGATCTGCTCCCTTCCTCCTGTCCTTGAGAAGGAGGGTGAAGATCTGGCTGTGGGACCAAGCCTTTGGCCCGCCCACTGTGTTTTTTTTCCTTTGTATTTTGCACTGTTTTATTTTATTCTTATGTTTCACTTATTGTTATTTTTGCTGTTTTGTGGTTACTTATCTTCGCGATCACATCTTCCCCTATGAACCAGTACGTACCTTGAGATCTTCTGGGGAGGCTTCTTGCAGGGGTCCCAGCGAGGTGTCATATCACTCCAATCCTGCAGCACTGCACTGGTTGCTGATTGAGCACCGGATTCCCTTCAAAGTGCTGATTCTTACCTTTAAGGCCTTATATGGCCTGGGGCCGGAGTACCTGAGGGACCGCCTCACCCCCTACCAACCCCCAAGATCACTCCCTTCAGACGATCAGAATCTCCTTGAAGTTCCCAATTTTAGGACCTTTCACCTGATGTCTACTAGGCGTAGAGCATTCACGGTGGTGGTTCCTTACCTGTGGAATGTCTTGCCAGCGGAAACACGAGCTCTCCGAGACTTACTATCTTTTCGTAGAACTTGTAAAACTTATTTATTTAGGCTGGCATTTGAATCTGTCTGATTGAAATTTTTCTTTGATTTTATTTATTTATTTATTTATTTGGTGCATTTGTTGACCGCCACTCTCAGCCCTGGGGCGACTCGCGGCGGTGTACAACATATAAAACCATTTACAATAGAACACAAACAGAGAATCAACATATCAAAATACACAATAATCTAAATTACACTAAATAATCCGCTCCGTTCCATCATCGAATCGTAACCAATCTCGTAATCCATTTCGTTCCGGTTGTCATTACCAATTAGTATAGCACTCAGTTAAATGCCTTCTCGAATAGCCAGGTCTTTAAGCTCTTACGGAAGGACATAAGGGAGGGCGCCTGTCTAATGTCAGCAGGGAGAGCGTTCCACAGCCGGGGGGCCACCACCGAGAAGGCCCTCTCTCTCGTCCCCGCCAGGCGTGCCTGTGAGGCAGGCGGGATCGAGAGAAGGGCCTCCCCAGACTATCTCAAGGCCCTCGTGGGCTCATAGGCCGAGATGCGGTCCGAAAGGTATTTTGGGCCGGAACCGTTTAGGGCTTTGTAGGATAACACCAGCACCTTAAATTGGGCCCGGTAGCATATCGGCAGCCAGTGGAGCTGGGACAACAAGGGCGTTGTGTGCTCCCTGCGTCCCGCTCCCGTTAGTAACATGGCTGCCGCGCGCTGGACTAGCTGAAGCTTCCGGGCCGTCTTCAAGGGCAGCCCCACGTAGAGAGCGTTTTAAATGTAATATATCGCATATGTATATTGTAAACCACTCCGAGCCTTTGGGGAGTGGCGGTATATAAAATTGATTAAATAAATAAATATTTTGTGAAAACCACGAAACAGCGAGCCCGCTAAAAACGAACCGTGAAGTAGAGAGGGAACACTGTGCTAAATTATTCCTGAGCCTAAAGGAAGAAGCAAGATGCAGAGTTCAGTCTTACAAAATTTCAGAAGATTTATTAAAACATAAGAATTACAATTCTCGACAGGAAAGTACTGGGTCTAGGCTTTAAGTTCAAACAAAAGGAAAAGTCTCTAGACTACGTTTTCCCCATTCACACACAACTAGAAAGAGACTCGGAATGAAAAGGAGGTGAATGAAGGAAATAATAATCTATATAAATAAAAATGTAATGTTCGTTTGTGGTATTCACAGAACTCAAAAACCTATGGGGGAATTAACACCAAATTTGGACACAAGACACCTAACAACCCAATGTATGTCCTTCACTCAAAAAAATTGATTTTGTCATTTGGGAGTTGTAGTTGCTGGGATTTACAGTTCACCTACAATTAAAGAGCATTCTGAACCCCACCAACGATGGAACTGAACCAAACTTGGCACACAGTTCTCCCATGACCAACAGAAAATACTGGAAGGGTTTGGTGGGCAGTGTCCTTTGGTTTGGAGTTGTAGTTCACCTACATCCAGAGAGCACTGTGGATACAAACAATGATGGATCTGGACCAAACTCTACACAAATACTCAATATGCCCAAATGTGAACACTGGCAGAGTTTGGGGAAAATAGAATCTTGACATTTGGGAGTTGTAGTTGCTGGGATTTATAGTTCACCTACAATCAAAGAGCATTCTGAACCCCACTAACGATAGAATTGGGCCAAACCTCCCACACAGAACCCCCATGACCACCAAAGTGGGCCACAGCAACGCATGGCAAGGGACGGCTAATAATAATAATAATAATAATAATAATAATAATAATAATAATAATAATCTTTATTTATACCCCGCCACCATCTCCCCAGTGGGGACTCAGTAAGGCTGACATGGGGCCAAGCCCAGATAACATATTACAGCAGAATAAAACCAAAAACATCATCATCAAAATTACATAGAAGAAACAAAATCATTCCAATAAACACAGTATAGGATAAAACAATTAAAAAATTAAAAGATTCTAATGAGATTCTAGTGATATTCTAATGAGATAATGACCGCAAGGTCTTAAAACAAACGGGCATACATGCATCCCAAAGAAGTTCCATTGTACGTCATCAATTAGGATGGAAGGAGAAAGGAGAAAGAGGGAGAGAAAACAGACACAACAACAGGAATTCAGGAATGAGGGGGAAAGAAGGGATTATCTGAGTCTAGCTTCATTCTATTTGCTTCTCCTTGAGGACGACAGACTAGAGCTGTGCGGAGTTGAATTCCAACAGTAAGGCGTCCGTAACATTGTCCCCTAAAAACTCCCCTTTTTCTCGGCTTCATTTTCAGGGTGATGACGGACCTGACGTGCGCGGAGGGTCGGGAGACATCCTCCTGGTTCACGCCACCGAGACCGACAGGAAAGGTACACCAGGAAAGTGGGTGAAGCCCCTTCCGTGCTGGTCACTCTGGATTAAGGGATTAGGGGAAAACGCAGCTCGGCTTCCCTCAAACAAGAAATCAGTGGGATATGCGCAGGGCGACATTTGTGGCTGCAGTTAAATCCCCCGCTGTTGTTCTTGAGCCGCACCATGACCTCTTGGATAACACTATGTAATACTACGGTTTTTGTCCCTGGCTTATCAATGTCATTTCCTGTTGTTATTGTTGTTGTTGTTGTTATTATTATTTGAAACACAACAAGATGAGTCCACAGCAGACAATATCACTCTGCTGGCTGTTGTACTGGATCACATGTCGGACACTTCCCAAGTGTTGTTGTTATCATTATTATTATTATTATTATTATTATTATTATTAGCTCTGGGACTGTGGTGCAGAAGGCTGAGTGTCAGCTGCATTAAGATCATTTCTGACCGAAAGTTTGAAGCCAGCCCGGGTCGGAGTGAACTTCTGACCAATTGTGTAGCTTGTTGTCGACCTTTCCAACCCAAAAGACAGTTGCATCTGTCATTTCGCAAGAACGTGTGGGTCACATTATTGCTTTGCTTGGCTATCAGAAGATCTGTGCACGATGTGTACCCAGGTTGCTGACGCTGGTTGCGGAAACAGAGTGTCGACTTCTTCCGTGACGGCTTCAGAAAAGTTGTTAATCATTGGCAGAAATGTATCCAATTGTCTGGGGATTGTCAGGGGAGGCCCTGCTCTCGGTCCCGCCTTCGACACAAGTACGTCTGGTGGGGACGAGAGACAGGCCTTCTCAGTGGTGGCCCCTCTTTGGAAGCTTTTAAACAGAGGCTGGATGGCCATCTGTCAGGGGTGATCCTGAATGCAATATTCCTGCTTCTTGGCAGGTGATTGGATGGCCCATGAGGTCTCTTCCAACTCTTTGATTCTATGATTCTATGGCAAGCATCCTCAGAGGTAGTGAGGTCTGTTGGAACTAGGAAAAAGAGTTTATTTATCTGTGGAATGACCAGGGTGGGACAAAGGACTCTAGTCTGTTGGACCTAGGTGTGAATGTTTCAACTGATCACCTTGATTAGCATTTGAAGGCCTGCCTGAGCCTGGGAAAATCTCTTTCTGGGAGGTGTTAATCTGTGCCTGGTTGTTTCCTCTCTGTTGTTGTGCTGATCTAATTTTAGAGTTTTTTAATACTGGTAGCCAGATTGTGTTCATTTTCACGGTTTCCTCCTTTCTGTTGAAATTGTCCACATGCTTGTGGATTTCAATGGCTTCTCTGTGTAGTCTGACATGGTGGTTGTGAGAGTGGTCCAGCATTTCTGTGTTCTCAAGTAATTAGTTTGTATGTATGTTGTGTACTACTATCTTTATTCAGCCCCTTTCTTTGTCCCCATAGGAACTCAAGGCAGCTAACAGTAACATTATTGTTATTGTCCCTGTGTTATCAATGTCATTTCCTAATTGGTTCTATCACAAAAACATGGGGAAAAGTTTATTAGACTGCAAAACTGTGTTTCTGTGGGAGGGACATCCTGCTATAGTGGATTTGGCTCATTCCTCCCTTGTGGTTGCCCTGCTTCCAGGTGAGTAAATGGAAATGACTGCTCAGTTTGGTGTTGTCTCCTTCCTCCTCTTCCTTAGACCTGGTGCTGTATTGTGAAGCCTTCCTGACGACGTACCGGACCTTCATCAGCCCTGAAGAACTCATCAAAAAGCTGCAGTACAGATATCCTTTTTGGCCGGCAAGGCTCCTGAAAATGGGCCCCAAATCGCTCCAAATCTCCCCAAAAATGGCGTAGGTATTACTACATGCCGTGGCTTTCAGGAGAGACCTGTGTTTTGGTTTGGTTTTGGCCACACGATCCCCAATTTCTTTAACTCTGTGTTCAACGTATGAGAAGTTCTGCCACTGTCCAGACACCTTCAAGAAGCGGGTCAGCAAGAACACCTTCTTCGTCCTGGTCCGAGTGGTGGACGAACTCTGGTGAGTGGGCACGCTTGCTCGGCTTGGCTTAGAGTCATAGAATTGTTATTATTGTATTGTCGAAAGCTTTCATGGCTGGAATCACTGGGTTCTTGTAGGTTTTTTCGGGCTATATAGCCATGTTCTAGAGGCATTCTCTCCTGATGTTTCGCCTGCATCTATGGCAAGCATCCTCAGAGGTAGTGAGGTCATTTTTATTGTAATAATAATAATAACAATTATGCTAGAGAAGATAATTATGCTGGGGAAAGTGGAAGGTAAAAGGAAGAGGGGCCGACCAAGGGCAAGATGGATGGATGACATCCTTGAAGTGACTGGACTGACCTTGAAGGAGCTGGGGGTGGTGACGGCCGACAGGGAGCTCTGGCGTGGGCTGGTCCATGAGGTCACGAAGAGTCGGAGACGACTGAACGAATGAACAACAACATTATTATTATTATGAACCCCAAGGGCCATCGAGTCCACCCTCTTCTGCCAGATAGGCAGACACAATCAAAGCCCTCTCATCAGATGGCCAAACCTCCTTCCCTCCCTCCTTCTTCCCCTTCCTTCTTGCTTGCTTACGATCTTGTCCTTCCTTTCTTCCTGTCTGTCTTCCTCCTTCCTTCTTTCTGTCTTTCTCCCTCCCCCCTTCCTCCCTCCATTCCTCCCTCTCTCTCTTCATCCCTTTCTTTTTCTTTTCTCCCTCCCTCCTTCCTTCCCTCTCTCTCTCTTTCTTTCTTTCTTTCTTTCTTTCTTTCTTTTCTTTTTTCCTTCCTCCCACCTTCCCTCCCTCACTTCCTTTCTTCTTGTCCCCTTCCTCCCTCTCTCCCTCTTTCTTTCTTTCTTTCTTTCTTTCTTTCTTTTCTTTTTGTCCTCCCTCCTTCCCTCCCTCACTTCCTTCCTTCTTGTCCCCTTCCATCTTTCCCTCCCTCCTTCCCTCTTGTCTCCCTCCCTTTATTTTCTTCCCTCCCTCCCTCCCTCCCTCTTTCTTTCTTTCTTTCTTTCTTTCTTTCTTTCTTTCTTTCTTTCTTTCTTTCTTTCTTTCTTTCTGTCCTCCCTCCCTTCTCTTCTCTTCCTTCCTTCTGTCCTCCACCTACTTCCTTCCCTTCCTTCCCTCCCTCCCTCCCTCCCTCCCTCCCTCCCTCCCTCCCTCCCTCCCTCCCTCTTGTTTCCCTCCCATTATTCTTTTCTTCTCTTCCTTCCTTATTTCCTCCCTTCCTTCCCTACTTCTTTCTTTCTTTCTTTCTTTCTTTCTTTCTTCTTTCTGTCCTCCCTCCTTCCCTCTCTCACTTCCTTCCTTCTTGTCCTCCACCTACTTCCTTCCCTTCCTTCCCTCCCTCCCTCCCTCTTGTTTCCCTCCCATTATTCTTTTCTTCTCTTCCTTCCTTATTTCCTCCCTTCCTTCCTTCCCTACTTGTTTCTTTCTTTCTTTCTTTCTTTCTTTCTTTTCTTTTTGTCCTCCCTCCTTCCCTCCCTCACTTCCTTCCTTCTTGTCCCCTTCCATCCTTCCCTCCCTCCTTCCCTCTTGTCTCCCTCCCTTTATTCTTTTCTTCCCTCCCTCCCTTTCTTTCTCTTCCCTCCCTTTCTTTCTTTCTTTCTTTCTGTCCTCCTCCTTCCCTCTCTCCTTCCTTCCTTCTTGTCCTTCCCCTCTTTCTTTCCTTCCTTCCTCCCCCTCTCTCTCCTTCCTTCCTTCCTTCCCTCCCTCCCTCCCTCCCTCCCTCCCTCCCTCCCTCCCTCTTGTTTCCCTCCCTTTATTCTTTTCTTCTCTTCCTTCCTTATTTCCTCCCTCCTTCCTTCCTTCCTTCCTTCCTTCCTTCCTTCCTTCCTTCCTTCCTTCCTTCCCTCCCTCCTTTCTTTCTTTCTTTCTTTCTTTCTTTCTTTTCTTTTCTTTTCTTTTCTTTTCTTTTCTTTTCTTTTTGTTCTTCCTCCTTCCCTCCCTCACTTCCTTCTTGTCCCCCACCTACCTACCTTCCTTCCTTCTTTCCTTCCTTCCCTCCCTCCTGCCTCCCTCCCTTTTTTCTTTCTGCCTTCCTCCTTCCCTCCCTCCCCTCCTTCTTTCTTTTCTTTCTTTTTGCCCTCCTCCTTCTTTTCTTCCCTCCGCCTCCCCCCTTCCTTCTCTCCTCCCTTTCTGCTACCCTTCCCTCTTTCACTTCCTTCACTCTCTCTCTCTTTCTTTCTTTCTTTCTTTCTTTCTTTCTTTCTTTCTTTCTTTCTTTCTTTCTTTTCTTTCCTTCTCTCTCCTTCCCTTTCTCCCTTCTCTTTTCCTTCCTCAGCCTGGTGGAGCTGACGGAGGAGATCCTGCGCCTGCTGATGGAGCTGGTCTTCCGCCTGGTCTGCAGTGGGGAGCTGAGCCTGGCCCGCGTCCTGCGCAAGAACATCCTGGACAAAGCCGACCAGAAGAAGATCCTGCGACACACCAACTCCGCACGGCCCCTCGCCTCCCGATGGGTGGCCGCCAGGTAAGTACATAGGGGGGAGTTAAAGAGATAGGGAATTCTATATGGACGGACATACAGAAACATATATATTTCCTTTCCATCATCCATTCCCTTCTTTTCCCTTTCTCTTCCTTCCTTTTTCTTTCTTTCCTTCCCCTTTTTCCAGGCCGGGGACCCTCCATGACTTCCACAGCCACGAAATTGCGGAGCAGCTGACCCTCCTGGATGCTGAGCTGTTCTATAAGATTGAGGTGCGTCTGCCAGAGGTTTGGGGGGCTACTTTGAGGACCCCCCCTTGTGTTGCATGCTTCCTTTTTGGGGCCGAAACAGCATCCTGATGCCCCCCGTGCCTTCTTTCCCTTTCAGATCCCCGAGGTCCTTCTTTGGGCGAAAGAGCAGAATGAGGAAAAGAGCCCCAACTTGACCCAGTTCACCGAGCACTTTAATAACATGTCCTACTGGTAAGAGGACCTCCAGGCGCTCAGTGCCAATTCATGCCATTTTGGAGTAGCAACCAGATCTAAACAAAAGAATACAAATGACATTACAATCCATTTGGGGGGAGAATAAGCAAGCAAATATCACAATCAGGGCAAAGGCATGCAAGGTGATGATTTCTCAAAATTATCTATGTATATAATAAAAGTCTGTGTTTGAATGTGGAGGGAGGACGGGAGGGAGGTGTATGTAGCAGTGTTCTGATTGGTTGCCACTGTGGTACAATTTGCATATGGTCTCTGATTAGCCAGCCTCAAAACTCCAAGATTCTGAGGTGACAGAGAGGAGAGGAAAAGGCCAGAGGCTGTGTCACGAAATTACCAATACAGACCAAACTTGGCACACAGAGCCCACAAGACCCACTCTAAAGCCTACTGCAGTTTGGAGGAGGATGGACCATGGATGATGGGACTTGCAGTACCATCATTCACTTTCTGAGACCGCTGTGACCCTCATCCAATGACTGATCAAGACCAAACTTGGCACACAGAGCCCCCATGACCCACTCTACATCCTGGAGCTGTTTGGAGGAGGACAGACCATGGATGATGGGACTTACAGTACCTTCACTCACTTTCTGAGACCACAGTAACACTCATCCAATTACCAATACAGACCAAACTGTGCCCTCATGACCCACTCTACATCCTGGTGCGGTTTGGAGGAGGACGGACCATGGATGATGGGACTTGCAGTGAGTGAAGGTTCACTCACTTCCTGAGACCACAGCAACATTCACCCAATTACCAATAAAGAGCAAACTTGGCACATAAGCCCCCATGATCCACTCTACATCCTACTGCAGTTTGGAGGAGGATGGACCATGGATGATGGGACTTGCAGTACCATCATTCACTTTCTGAGACCGCTGTGACCTTCATCCAATGACTGATCAAGACCAGACTTGACACACAGAGCCCCCATGACCCACTTTCCATCCTGGTGCAGTTTGGAGGAGGATGGACCACAGAGGATGGGACTCACAGTACCTTCACTAACTTTCTGAGACCGCTGTGAGCCATATAAATAACTGATATAGACCAACCTTGATACACAATTCCTTTCTCAAATAACCCGGGCATATTACTAACCAAACTAGTAATATAATAAAACTTATATAGTATTATAATACAGTTGTAATATGCTATAGTATATTAGGGCTCTCATAGAAGCCCCGACAATAATAATGTTCTGTGATTGTTCAGAATGCTCTGTGATTGTAGGTGAACTATAAATCCCAGCAATTACAACTCCCAAATGTCAAGATTCTATTTTCCCCAAACTCCATCTGTGTTCACATTTGGGGATATTGAGTATTCGTGTAGAGTTTGATCCAGATCCATCATTGTTTGAGTTCACAGTGCTCTCTGGATGTAGGTGAACTACAACTCCCAAACTCAAGGTCAATGCCCACCACACCCTTCTAGTGTTTTCTGTTGGTCATGGGAGTTCTGTGTGCCACGTTTGGTTCAATTCCATCATTGGTGGAGTTCAGAATGTTTTTTGATTGTAAGTAAACTATAAATCCCAGCAACTACAAATGACAAAATCATTTTTTTGAGTGATGGTCACTCCTTGGGTTAGTAGGTGTCTTGTGGCCAAATTTGACAGCAATTCATCCAGTGGTTTTTGAGTCATGTTAATCCCACAAACAAACATTACATTTTTATTTATATAGATACAATATAATATAATATAACTCTCATAGAATAATAATAATAATAATAATAATAATAATAATAATAATAATTATTATTATTATTATTATTATTATTATTATATCCCACCTTATCTCCCTGAGGGGACCCAGGTCAGTTTCCAACAAAAAACGGCAAACATTGAATAAAAGAATAATAAAAGAAATGAGACAATTCAATTAAATCTTTGGTAGTCCTTGTGAACAAGAATAGAATCTCCCACCTTGATGGGAAAGAATGGAAGAATCGATCAATGGGTGGGAATGTTGCTTGCGTTTAAAGGAAAAGGAGAGATAAACAAAGAAATAAAGAAAAGGAGGATCTGCTGATATCAACAATTGAGTGCTGGAAACTATATATATATCTATATATAAGGAATGTTCCCAATAGGAATAATGCCATAACAAAAATGAACATATACATACACATATATACATATATATATATATATATATAGAGAGAGAGAGAGAGAGAGAGAGATACACACATGTGTATGTGTGTGTGTGTGTGTGTGTGTGTGTGTGTGTGTGTATATATATATATATATATGGGAAATGGTGTTTCCTACCAACCTCTGCAGGGTGCGCTCCATCATTATGCAGCAGGAGAAAGCGCAGGACCGCGAGAGGCTGCTCCTCAAGTTCATCAAGATCATGAAGGTGAGGGCCTCTTTCTATCATTGTCATTATTATTATTATTACTATTATTATTATTATTATTATTATTAAGCAGAGGCTGAATGATCATCTGTTGGGATGGTGCATTTTCCTTATGGCAGAAGGAGGTTGGACTGGATGGCCCTTGGAGGTCTCTTCCTATTCTAGGATTCTATTATTGTTGTTATTGTTATTATTATTGAGCAGAAGCTGAATGGCCATCTGTCAGGTGGGCTTTGATTGTGTCCCCTTTTATGGCAGAAAGGGGTTGGACTTGATGGCCCTTTTTAGGGGTCTCTTCCAACTCTAGGATCCTATGATTATTATTATTAAACAGAGGTTGAATGGCCATCTGTCAGGAGTGATTTGATTGTGCTTTTCCCTTATGGCAGAAGGGTTTGGACCTTGGAGGTCTCTTCCAACTTTTTGATTGTGTTGTTGTTGTTGTTAATATTAAGCAGAGGTTGAATGGCCATCTGTCAGGAGCATCAGAGTTGTCAGAGTTGGACTAGATGCCTCTTGGAGGTCTCTTCCAATGCTAGGATTCTATTATTATTGTTAATTATTATTATTATTAAGTAGAGGCTGAATGGCAATCTGTCAGGTGGGCTTTGATTGTGTCCTCCTTTATGGCAGAAGGGGGTTGGACTGGATGGCCTTTGGGGGTCTCTTCCAACTCTATGATCCTATTATTATTATTAAGCAGAGGCTGAGTGGCCATCTGTTGGGACTGTTTGATTGCTTTTCCCTTATGCTAGAAGGAGGTTGGACTGGATGGCCCTTGGAGGTCTCTTCCTACTCTAGGATTCTGTTATTGTTATTGCTATTATTATTATTATTATTATTATTATTATTATTATTATTATTATTATTATTTGAAACACAACAAGATGAGTCCACAGCAGACACTCTGCTGGCTGTTGTATTGGATCACACATTATTATTATTATTATTATTATTATTATTATTATTATCATCATCATCATCATCATTATTATTATTTATTAAGCAGAGACCGAATGGCCACCTGTCAGGAGTGCTTTGATTGCGCTTCTCCCTTATGTATTGTTAAGCAGAAGCTTTTGTTATTGTGTCAGGAGCGACTTGAGAAACTGCAAGTTGCTTCTGGTGTGAGAGAATTGGCCGTCTGCAAGGACGTTGCCCAGGGGACGTTGCCCGGATGTTTTGATGTTTGACCCTCCTTGTGGGAAGCTTTTCTCATGTCCCTGCCTGGGGAGCTGGAGCTAATAGAGGGAGCTCATCCGCACTCTCCCCGGATACAAACCTACGACTTGTTGGCCTTCAGTCCAGCTCTCCATGCAGCAGAAGGGTTTACATTAACCCATTGTGCCACCGAGGGCGCCTAAGCAGAGGCTGAATGGCCATCTGTCAGGAGGGCTTTGATGGTGCTTTTCCTACATGAAGGCAGAAGTGTGTTGGACTGGACGATGGAAGGAAGGAAGGGAAGGACAGAAAGGAAAGTTAAGATAGAAAGGATAGAAGGAAGGAAGGAAGGAAGGAAGGAAGGGAAGAGGAAGGAAGGGGAAAAGAACAGAAAGAAAGGAAAGAAAAGAAGGAGGCAAGAAGGCAAGGGGGAGAAAGGCAGGAGAAGGAAGGAAGGACAAAGGGAAAGGAAGCAAGAGGAAGGGAAGAGCAAGAAGGAAGGGGAAGGAAGAAAAAGGGAGGGAGGGAGGAAGTGGAGGGGAAGAACAGGAGGGAGGAGGGAGGGAGGAAGGACAGGAAGGAAGGAAGAAAGAAGAGCAAGAGGAAGGAAGAGAAGAAGGAAAGAGAAAGGAGGAAGGAAGGGAAGGAAGGAAGGAAGGAAGGAAGGAAGGAAGGAAGGAAGGAAGGAAGGAAGGAAGGAAGGAAGGAAGGAAGGAAGGAAGGAAGGAAGGAAGGAAGGAGGGAAGGAGGGAGAAGAAGGAAAGAAGAGTAGGGGAAGGACAGAACAGGAAGGAGATTGCTTTCTACTCTGGGATTCTATTATTACAGTATTACTATTAAGCAGAGACGGAATGACCATCTGTCAGGAGGGCTTTGATGGTGCTTTCTTGTATGAAGGCAGAAGAAAGGGGTTGGACTGGATGGTCCTTGGAAGTCTCTTCCTACTCTAGGATTCTGTTGTTGTTGTTAAGCAATAACAGCGCTTTTCCCGGCAGCACTTACGGAAGCTCAACAACTTCAACTCCTACCTGGCCATCCTCTCGGCCCTGGACTCGGCCCCCATCCGCCGCCTGGAGTGGCAGAAGCAAACTTCGGAGGTGAGGATCCGGGATTGGGATTCCGGGAGGAGCTTTTGGCGGCCTCTCCCATGTGCCCAGCCCCACCCTCGCTGGGTTTGAAAGCGTGCTTCTCTTGCAGGGCCTGGCCGAATATTGCACGCTGATTGACAGCTCCTCCTCCTTCCGGGCCTACAGAGCCGCCCTCTCCGAGGTGGAGCCCCCCTGCATCCCTTACCTGTGAGTACCTTCCCACTATTCTTCACTTTGCTACGTTTGCAGATGATACTGTCGTACTCCAAGGCAGAATCGCCTCTGACTTTACACCCCACATCAGCTGGGTAGAATCAGCAAGCAGTTTATTTAAGATGAGCTGTACCCCGATTACTATGAAAACAATATGTGACATGTATTCATTATGAATTTCAATATTTTAAAATGGTGATGGATTGTAATGTTATGCTACCGGTGTCAGCAATAAAAAATACATGGGGGGAAAAGACTAGCTGTACCCGCCACATGTTGCTGTGGCCAACCTTCCCTCCCTCTTTCTCTCCTTCCTTCTCTTTTATTCTTTCCTTCTCTCCTTCCTTCCTTCCCTTTTTTCTTTCCTTCTCTCCTTCCTTCCTTCCTTCTTTTCTTCTTCCCTCTTTCTCTTCTTTCGTTCTCTCCTTCCTTCCCTCTTTCCTTCCTTCCCTTTTTCTTTCCTTCTCTCATTCTTTCCTTCTCTTCCTCTTCCCTCTTTCTCTTCTTTCTTTCTCTCCTTCTTTCCTTCCTTCCCTCTTTCCTTCCTTCCCTTTTATTTTTTCCTTTTCTCCCTCTTCCTTCTTTCTCTCCTTCCTTCCTTCCTTCCTCCCTTCCTTCCTTCCTTCCCTTTTATTCTTTCCTTCTCTCCTTCCTTCCTTCTCTTCCCTCTTCCTCTTCTTTCTTTCTCTCCTTCCTTCCTTCCCTCTTTCCTTCCTTCCCTTTTATTCTTTCCTTCTCTCCTTCCTTCCTTCTCTTCCTCTTCCCTCTTTCTCTTCTTTCTTTCTCTCCTTCCTTCCTTCCTTCCCTCCCTCTTTCCTTCCTTCCCTTTTATGCTTTCCTTCTCTCCTTCCTTCCTTCTCTTCCTCTTCCCTCTTCCTCTTCTTTCTTTCCTCTTTCCTTCCTTTCCTCTTCCCTTCCCTTTTTTCTTTCCTTCTCTCCTTCCTTCCTTCTCTTCCTCTTCCCTTTTTCTCTTCTTTCTTTCTCTCCTTCCTTCCCTTTTTTCTTTCTTTATTTCTTTCTCTCCCTTCCTTCCTTCTCTTCCTCTTCTTTCTTTCCTATTCCTCCCTCTTTCCTTCCTTCCTTCCACCTTTTTTCTTTCCTTCTCTCCTTCCTTCCTTCTCTTCCTCTTCCCTTTTTCTCTTCTTTTTCTCTCTCCTTCCTTCCCTTTCCTTCCTTCCCTTTTTTCTTCCCTCCTTTCTTCTCTTCCTCTTCTCTCCTTCTATTCTTTCTTTCTTTCTCTCCTTCCATTGCACTTTAACAACACAACTGTTCGATGCTAAGGCTTCTCACCAAAATGGAACTGTAGAGGAGAGTCTACTGAACAAGCCAGTACCTGCTGCATACCAGTACTGCCATTTGTTGAGGAGTTACGGAGGTGGAGGCATTACTTTTCATTCAATCCTCGTATCTAACGTGCACCCTAATATTGGCAAGGCAGTTTAGCCCCAGAAGGGGAGCAATCGACTCGAGTAAATAAGAGTGTTTCTGGTGTGTGATTGCGCCATCACGAGGGTCCTCCTGGGTTGTCTCTTTGCAGAGGCCTTATCCTGCAAGACCTGACCTTCGTCCACCTGGGGAACCCGGACCACATCGAGGGCAAAGTCAACTTCTCCAAGCGCTGGCAGCAGTTCAACATCCTGGACAGCATGCGGTGCTTCCAGCAAGTGTAAGTCTTGGGATATCCACACGGGATTCAAAAAGGGATCGGAAGAGCATTGAGTCCGGACCCGAACATTTTGCAGCGAGCGTTAGGATTGAGCGAGGCCTTTAAGGCATTGCGTCTCATTCTGTCTTTCACCTGAAGTCTTATCTTCATCTACTTGGAAGCAAGCATAGAAGTCAATGCTTACTCCTCAGTAGCAATAGCAATAATAATATTATAATAATCTACAATAATCTAATCAGATATTATTATAACAATATGTTATATAAAATGGTAAGATCATAAGATATTATAAGAAAATATAATAATAATAATAATAATAATAATAATATACAATATAATACAATATAATAAGAAATTGCTATAATATAATAGCATAATACAGTAATAATAAAATATTAGAATAATCATATACAATATAGTACAATAATGGTATAATACAGTAGTAATAAAATATTAGAAAATAATAATTTACAATATAGTACAATAACGGTATAATATAATGGTATAATACAGTAATAATAAAATATTAGAAAAAATAATAATATACAATATAATACAATAATGGTATAATAAAATGGTATAATACAGTTATAATAAAATATCAGAAGAAAATATAATAATAATATGCAATATAATACAATATAATAAGAAAATACTATAATATAATGTTAAAATACAGTAATAATAAAATATTAGAAGAAAATTTAATAATATACAATATAATACAATAATGGTATAATATAATGGTATAATACAGTAATAATAAAATATTAGAAGAAAATAATGCTACACAATATAATACAATATAATATGGTAATTGTATAATATAATGATATAATACAGTAATAATAAAATATTAGAAGAAAATAATAATATACAATATAATACAATAATGGTATAATAAAATGGTATAATACAGTAATAATAAAATATCAGAAGAAAATATAATAATAATATGCAATATAATACAATATAATAAGATAATGATAGAATATAATGGTATAATACAATAATAATAAAATATTAGAAGAAAATTTAATAATATACAATATAATACAATAATGGTATAATATAATGGTATAATACAGTAATAATAAAATATCAGACGAAAATATAATAATAATAATATGCAATATAATACAATATAATAAGATGATAGAATATAATGGTATAATACAGTAATAATAAAATATTAGAAGCAAATTTAATAATATACAATATAATACAATAATGGTATAATATAATGGTATAATACAGTAATAATAAAATATTAGAAAAAAATAATAATATACAATATAATACAATAATGGTATAATAAAATGGTATAATACAGTAATAATAAAATATCAGAAGAAAATATAATAACATGCAATATAATATAATAAGATAATGATAGAATATAATGATATAATACAGTAATAATAAAATATTAGAAGAAAATATAATAATATACAATATAATACAATAATGATATAACATAATGGTATAATACAGGAATAATAAAATATTAGAAGAAAATAATAATAATATTATAATAATATACAATATAATACCATATAATAAGAAATAATATAATGGTATAATACAGTAATAATAAAAATATAATCTAGCAATATAATCAAATAATATGATCTAATAATAATAATAATTTATTACTCACCTCTCCTTGCAGATCGAGGCAGCGGGGGTGGGGTAAAAACAGGGTTTAAAAAACCACAGCACTATTACAATACATATAACACCACACCTGTAAAGCTGTCCCTGGCATTTATTTCCTCTCCATCTCTCTTGTGGCGGCAGGCATTACGACATCCGGCGCAACGACGACATCATCTCGTTTTTCAACGATTTCAGCGACCATTTGGCTGAGGAGGCTTTGTGGGAACTCTCGCTCAAGATCAAGCCCCGGAACATCACCCGGCGGAAGACAGACCGCGAAGAGAAGACCTAGGGTTTGGGGAGAAGTGGGGGGTCGCCTTGGGGGAGTGGGGCTGAAGGATGGGTGGACCTCCCCACGGACAGATGGACAGCAGTTCCGAGGGTCGTTGGGCCTGCGACCCTCCCAAGGTTTGCGAGGATGGACCGTTGGCACACGGTGCCACTTCTTCCCATCAGGCTGTGCGAGAGGGCGGCCATGTCGGCCTTCCGCTCTCCTCCTGCTGCTGCTATTTGGTGGGAATCGTGACCGGATCGGAGCCAACCTGCCTCAACTTTGCCAAATTTTTTTGAGTTTTCCATACGAAAGAGAGATGGTTTGCTTCCGTTTCTGCACAGAGCGATGCCAAGCTCCTGTTGCGCCCTTTTTCGGGTGCCAAGGACACTCCACCTCGAGTAACTTCTTATAAGAAAGAGAAGGAACTCCACTTCAAGTTACTTCTTCTAACAATGAGAAGGAACTCCTCCTCGAGTTACATCTTATAAGAAATAGAAGGAACTCCAATTTATAATAAAGAGAAGGAAATCCCTCTTGAGTAACTTCTTCTAAGACAGAAAAGGAACACTTCAAGTTACTTCTAAGAAAGAGAAAGAACTACTTCTCGAGTAACTTCTTAGACGAAAGAGAAGGAACTCCACTTCAAATTACTACTTCTAAGAAAGAGAAGGAACTCGATCTTGAGTTCCTTCTCAGAAGAACTCAAACCTCAAGTTTCTTCTTGTAAAGAAGAGAAGGAACTCCGCCTCGAGTTACTTCTATGAAAGAGAAAGGAACTCCAGTTGGAGTTACGTCTTATGAGAAAAAGAAGGAACTTCATGCAAGGAGGAAGGAGTTACATTCTGCCCTGCAGAGTCTGTGTTTACAAGAGTCGTCCCGTTTCCGCATCTCCAGCAAAGACGATAGGAACCCCTTTCTGGGAATCCCGCGGACTCCAGGACCCAGCATCCCCCCTCCCCGGCGTGTGTTTTAGTCATGGTACTAGCAGTAAATATGTAGAGAGAGAGAGAGAAAAAAACCCACCTGTACATAGGAATCCCTCGGTGCCGCCGGTCCCTTTTTCTTTCTTTTTGATGCATGTCTGAATGGGTTTTTGAATGAGGAACGCACCAAGACGCAAAGCAAAATCTGTATAGGAAACGAGGGAGAAAGACGTCATGTTGGGACGAGGGAGGCTTGCGGTTTGCATTGAAAGTCCTTATTGTGAATGAAGGGGAAGGAAGAGGATTCCGGTGTCTTCTTACGAGCCGGAAGAGGTTGCATCTCTGCATATGAGGCCTCTGTTGCCAGACTCTGGAAGATCATCTCCATGCAATACATGGACGATATTCCCGTTAGTCATGAGCCGGAAGAGGTTGCCACCTCTGCATATGAGGCCTCCGTTGCTAAACTCCAGAAGATCATCTCCATGCAATACGTGGATGATATTTCCCTGTTAGTCTTGAGCCAGAAGAGGTTGCCATCTCTGCATATGAGGCTTCCGTTGCCAGATTCTGGAAGATCATCTCCATGCAACACGTGGACGATATTCTGTTAGTCCTAAGCCAGAAGAAGTGTTGTGATCTCTATGTATGATGCCTCCATGCTGGACTTTTGAAGATCATCTCCATGCAGTATGTGGACGATATTCTCCTCTTAGTCCTGAGCCGGAAGAGGTTGCTAAACTCCGTTGCTAAACTCCAGAAGATCATCTACATGCAATACATGGACGATATTCCCCTGTTAATCCCGAGCCAGAAGAGCTTGCCATCTCTGCATATGAGGCCTCTGTTGTCAGACTCTGGAAGATCATCTCCATGCAATACATGGACGACATTCCCCTGTTAGTCCTGAGCCGGAAGAGGTTGCCATCTCTGCATATGAGGCCTCCGTTGCCAGACTCTGGAAGATCATCTCCATGCAACACGTGGATGATATTCCCCTGTTAGTCCCGAGCCGGAAGAAGTGTTGCTATCTCTCCGTACGAGGACTCCATTGCTGGACTCTGGAAGATCATCTCCATGCAACATGTGGACGATATTCTCCTGTTCAGTCCCTTCCTGGCATGATGGGAGCTGTAGTCCGACACCACAAAGGGATCACAGGCCCCTTGAGGTTGACTTTCGGACTCTGGCCAAACCTGTGTCCCTTTTCTGCCCGAATCCTCTGCTATTTATTGTGTAAGTAAATGGGGAGTTGGGAATCAGAGAAGGTTGAGTTTTGCAGTGGGATCAGCATTCCTATAACTTCGGCCCTCCGGGTGTTTTGGACTTCAACTCCCACAATTTGCTGTGAGGAATTGTGGGAGTTGAGGTCCAAAACAACCGGAGGGCTGAAATTGGCCCATGCCTGCCATATATAACCCTTGCTATCCGGAAGCCTCCCTCGGCCTGACACTCATGGGTTTTGTGATCCTAAAAGCAACACCAACAGGGAACAAGAACAGATCCATCTGATCCATCAAATCCCATGACTTCTTTTTCCCCCATAGGGAAGCGAGGCTGCAAAGTCTCTGTTTTGTGTCCCTCTTGTTTCCGGTGCATGCCTTGGTTGCCAAGATTAAAGCGACAATCGAACCCAATTGCTGTTGTGTGTTCATGGCGCTGTTTTGCCCGGTTCCTTATAGAACACCTCCTTTTCCCCCAGGAACTGGGTCATAAGCATATATCGTCATTGTGCTTTGAAAGGTTTTGCGAGAAAGCCCTTAGCCGCACAAAGAATGATGCCATTGTCCTCTTAGCCACATATACAATCTATAATGTATTGTGTTATATATATTGAAGGTCCTCAGCCGCACAATGGATGATGCCATTGGCCTCTTAGCCACATATACAATCTATAATACATTGTGTTATGTATATTGTAGGTCCTCGCCACACAAAGGATGATGCTGTTGGCCTCTTAGCCACATATACAATCTATAATATATTGCGTTATATATATTGAAGGTCCTCAGCCGCACAAAGGATAATACTGTTGGCCTCTTAGCCACATATACAATCTATAATATACTAGCTGTACCCACCACGCGTTGCTGTGGCAAACCTTCCCTCCCTCTTTCTCCTCCTTCTTTCTCTCTTCTTCCTTCCCTCCCTCTTTCCTTCTTTCCCTCTATTTCTTTCTCTTCTTCTTTCTTCCTTCTCTATCTGTTTCTTTTCTCGCTTCCTTTGGTGTATGGTTTCATCCTTCCTTGTCTCTTTCCTTGCTTCCTTCCCTCCCTCTTTCGTTCCTTCTCTCCTTCCTTCCTTCTTTCACTTTTTTATTTCCTCCTCTCTTTCCTTCCTTCTCTATCTTCCTTTCTTTCTTTCCTTCCCTCCTTCTTTCCCTCTTTCTCTCCCTCCTTTCTTCTCTATCTTTCCTTCTTTCTCTCCTTCCCTCCTTCTTTCCCTCTTTCTCTCCCCTTCCTTCCTTCTCTACCCTTCTTTCTTTCCTTCCCTCCTTTCCCAAAAACGGAGAAACCACCGGACAAAATCTCACCAAATTTGCCCTGGTAATACCTCTTCCCCCAAGGTATGACCAACAACCCTCAAAACACCAATACGCAACAACACAAACTCACAATACCCGAAAACCACGGAGCATGCGCAGAGGCCTCGGGAGGAATACGATGAGGAAGGACTCAATTTCCCAGCTTCCCCCGTGCCCCTCCCTCTACCCCATTGCTCCCGCCGCTGCGGTGGATTTCGACATGGCAATGGATGCCTTTGGGCATGCCTTCCCGTTATTGGGGTGGCTTCCTGGGCCCTCCCACACAGCCAGAGCACAATCGAGAGAAACACAAATGTCACCTTTGTTTATGGGATGAACATAGCAGAAGGGACTTAAAAAGCCAAAACAAAACACCCCAAAATTACAACGCATGTGCAAAACCACATATAGATACACAAACACACATATATGCATATACACACACAAAACACATGCACAGAAAGGGGGAAGGAAGGAGGGAAAGAAAGAAAGGTAGAGAAAGAAGGAAGGAGAGAAAGAGGGAAATAAAGAGGGAAAGAAGGAGGGAAGGAGAGAAAGAAGGAAAGAAAGGAAGATAGAGAAGAAAGGAGGGAGAGAAAGAGGGAAAGAAGGAGGGAAGGAAAGAGAAAGCAGGATAGAGAAGGAAGGAAGGGGAGACGAGGGAAAGAAAGAGAAGGAAGAGGAGGGAAGGGAAAGAAGGAGAGAAGGAAAGAAAGAAATGTAGAGAAGGAAGGAAAGAGAAGGAAATAAAAGTGAAAGAAGGAAGGATGGAGAGAAGGAATGAAAAAGGGAAGGAAGGAAAGAGACAAGGAAGGATGAAACCAAACAGCAAAGGAAGCGAGAAAAGAAACAGGTAGAGAAGGAAGAAAGAAGAAGAGAAAGAAAAAGAGGGAAAGAAGGAAAGAGGGAGGGAAGGAAGGAGAGAGAAAGAAGGAGGAGAAAGAGGGAGGGAAGGTTTGCCACAGCAACGCATGGCGGGTACAGCTAGTATGTATGTGTGTGTGTGTGTGTGTGTGTATATATATATATACACACACACACAAACACACACAGTTTATGATCTACAATATATATATAAAATTTATAATATATATAATATAGCATAACTTACAATATAATATATATCATACTATATAATTTACTATGTATTGCAGTATATATATACTGCAATATATAAAATTTACAATATATACAATATATACCGTAAATATGTAATACTATGTGATATACATAATTTACAAAACATAAATAATATATATTTTATACTATATATAATTTACAATATATATAATCTATATAGTATAAATAACATAAGTTACAATATAATACAAATATCTCATTATTTACAATATATAAATAATACTGGTCCTTTTGCATTATATATAAATATATTTTCCAATATAATACATTTATATATAGAGTGAGTCTATTGGTGTAGATAAATATTTATTACTAACTGTCCCCTGCCACGCGTTGCTGTGGCCCACATGGGGGTTCATGTGTGGGAGGTTTGGCCCAATTCTATCATTGGTGGTGTTCAGAATGCTCTGTGATTGTAGGTGAACTATAAATCCCAGCAACTACAACTCCCAAATGACAAGATTCTATTTTCCCCAAACTCCACCAGTGTTCACATTTGGGCATATTGAGTATTCTTGTAGAGTTTGGTCCAGATCCATCATTGTTTGAGTCCAGAGTGCTCTCTGGATGCAGATGAACTACAACTCCCAAACTCAAGGTCAATGCCCAGCAAACCCTTCTAGTGTTTACTGTTGGTCGTGGGAGTCCTGTGTGCCAAGATTGGTTCAATTCCATCGTTGGTGGGGTTCAGAATGCTCTTTGATTGCAGGTGAACTATAAATCCCAGCAACTACAACTCCCAAATGACAAAATCAATTTTTTTTGAGTGAAGGACATACATTGGGTTGTTAGGTGTCTTGTGTCCAAATTTGGTGTCAAGTCATCCAGTGGTTTTTGAGTTCTGTTAATCCCACAAACAAACATTACATTTTTATTTCTATAGATTCTGGTGGCACTTTCCTGATATTCAGCAACAGCAAGCCATTTCCCATTACGCCATTTGGGGCATTTTTTTTTTTTGCGCAGGCGCTTCAAGCGCGTCGGAAAAAGGACTGCATTTCCCGTGAGGCCCCTCTGCCCGTTTTGCCTTTCTAAGCACCCGCTTTCCCCGCGCGGGGCCTGCCGGGATCAGTAGTTCCTCCCTCCCTGCTGATGGCCAGCCATGTAGCTCGGGCACGGAGGGACTCGGTGTCCCGTCGTGCCCCGCGGCCGGCATTGTATTGCCGGCGATGGCTTTGCCCGCGCGTGGCCTGCCGGGACCAGTAGTTCCGCCCTGCTGATAGCCAGCCATGTTGCTCGGGCACGGAGGGACTCAGTGTCCCGTCGTGCCCCGCGGCCGGCATTGTATTGCCGGCGACGGGTTTGCCCGCGCGTGGCCTGCTGGGAGCGGTAGTTCTTTTGCGGTGAGGTGGCTTGCAATGCCTTGGCCCAGGCATGGCGGCGGTGGCGGGGCCTTCGGGGCTGGCGGGCGCCTCGGAAGCGGAGAGGCCGCGGCCCAGGCCGTTCCTCATCGGTGTCAGTGGAGGAACCGCCAGCGGGAAGGTGAGCACGAGCCACGCGGGGGCCCAAGGGAGGCCCGGGCTTCGCAGTCGCCATTTTGGGCAAAAAAGGCTCCCTCAGGGCTTGCAGGCCTCGAAGCCCGACTAGGCCGCAACACCCTTTGCTGTGTCTTTGGAAGGGAAGACAGAGGGGAATATATATATCATACTGTTTATATTACACTAGCAGTCCCCTGCCACGCGTTGCTGTGGCCCAGTCTGGTGATCTGGAAAATAAAGTAATGAAAAAGTGTTGGTTTCTAATATATATGTAATTTATGCTTGTTGGTAAACAGTATTTCTTGTTGTTTCTTTGTCAGTGTTGGTGGAGATTGTCTGGTTTGCCTACTCTGGAATATGCAACATATCATAGTCCTTCTTTAAGGGTCTCTTTCAAATCTATGATACTATATCTGTGTGTGAATCATATATATCTATCTATATCTATGACTGGATGGCTCTTTGTCAGGAGGGCTTTGATTACATTTTCTTGCCCTGGTGAAGGGAGTTGGACTGGATGGCCTTAAGTATTTTCTGTTGGTCATGGGGATTCTGTGTGGGAAGTTTGGCCCAATTCTGTCGTTGGTGGTTCAGAATGCTTTTTGATTGTAGGTGAACTATAAATCCCAGTAACTACAAATCCCAAATGTCAAGGTCTATTTCCAAACTCCATCTGTGTTCATATTTGGGCATATGGAATATTCGTGCCAAGTTTGGTCCAGATCCATCATTGATTGAGTCCACAGTGCTCTCTGGATGTAGGTGAACTACAACTCCCAAACTCAAGGTCAATGCCCACCAAACCCTTCCAATGTGTTCAATTGGTCATTGAAGTCCTGTATGCCATGTTTGGTTCAATTCCATCATTGGAGTTCAGAATGCTCTTTGATTGTAGGTGAACTATAAATCCCAGCAACTACAACTCCCAAATGTCAAGGTCTATTTCCCCCAAACTCCACCAGTGTTCATATTTGGGCATATGGAATATTCGTGCCAAGTTTGGTCCAGATCCATCATTGTTTGAGTCCACAGTGCTCTCTGGATGTGGATGAACTATAATTCCCAAACTCAAGGTCAATGTCCACCAAACCCTTCCAGTTTTTTCTGTTGGTCATGGGAGCCCTGTGTGCTAAGTTTGGCCCAATTCCATCATTGGTGGAGTTCAGAATGCTCTTTGATTGTAGGTAAACTATAAATCCCAGCAACGACAATTCCCAAATGACAAAATCAATTTTTTTGAGTGGAGGACATAAATTGGACTGTTAGGTATCTTGTGTCCAAATTTGGTGTCAATTCCCCCAGTGGTTTTTGAGTTCTGATGGTAGCACAAACTAACATTACATTTTTATTCATATAGATCAGGAAGGGGCAAACATTGGTTTTGGGCTCCAACTCCCACCATTCCTAACAGGCTCAGGCCCTTCCTTCCCCCCTTAGCTGCTTAAGCGTTGTACCTCTCTCTCCATCTATGTATTGGGACTTGAAGGTAGGCCTCTCTTAGATCTATCACTCTATCTTCCAGCTTAAGCGGCTGAGGGGGGAAAGGAAAGGGCCTGAGGTTGTCAGGGATGGTGGGAGTTGGAGTCCAAAGCACCTAGAGGGCCCAAGTTGGCCCAGACCTGTATTATATTGTGTTTATAAATATAGATATATGTTGTTGTTGTTCATTCGTTCAGTCGTCTCCGACTCTTCGTGACCTCATGGACCAGCCCACGCCAGAGCTCCCTATCGGCCGTCACCACCCCCAGCTCCTTCAAGGTCAGTCCAGTCACTTCAAGGATGCCATCCATCCATCTTGCCCTTGGTCGGCCCCTCTTCCTTTTGCCTTCCACTTTCCCCAGCATAATTGTCTTCTCCAGGCTTTTCTGTCTCCTCATGATGTGGCCAAAGTACTTCAACTTTGTCTCTAGTATCCTTCCCTCCAGTGAGCAGTCGGGCTTTATTTCCTGGAGGATGGACTGGTTGGATCTTCTCGCAGTCCAAGGCACTCTCAGAACTTTCCTCCAACACCACAGCTCAAAAGCATCGATCTTCCTTCGCTCACCCTTCCCTAAGGTCCAGCTCTCACATCCGTAGGTTACTACAGGGAATACCATGGCTTTGACTAGGCGGATCTTTGTTGCCAGTCTGATGTCTCTACTCTTCACTATTTTATCGAGACTGGACATTGCTCTCCTCCCAAGAAGGAAAGGGTCTTCTGATTTCCTGGCCACAGTCTGCATCTGCAGTAATCTTTGCACCTAGAAATACAAAGTCTGTCATGGCCTCCACATTTTCTCCCTCTATTTTCCAGTTGTCAATCATTCTTGTTGCCATAATCTTGTTTTTTTTATGTTTAGCTGCAACCCAGCTTTTGCGCTTTCTTCTATCACCTTGATTAGAAGGCTCCTCAGCTCCTCCTCAAAGATATATAGAAAGTGAGAAACGAAAAGAGACCTCACAACCTCTGAGGATGCCTGCCCTAGACACAGGCGAAACATCATCGAATCCTAGAGTTGGAAGAGACCTCATGGGCCATCGTCCAACCCCATTCTGCCAAGAAGCAGGAATATTGCATTCAAATCACCCCTGACAGATGGCCATCCAGCCTCTGTTTAAAAGCTTCCAAAGAAGGAGCCTCCACCACACTCCGGGGCAGAGAGTTCCACTGCTGAACGGCTCTCACAGTCAGGAAGGTTTTCCTCATGTTCAGATGGAATCTCCTTTCTTGTAGTTTGAAGTCATTGTTTCTAGTCTCCAGGGCAGCAGAAAACAAGCTTGCTCCCTCCTCCCTGACTTCCTCTCACATATTTATACATGGCTATCATGTCTCCTCTCAGCCTTCTCTTCTTCAGGCTAAACATGCCCAGCTTTTTAAGCCGCTCCTCATAGGGCTTGTTTTCCAGACCCTTGATCATTTTAGTCACCCTCCTCTGGACACATTCCAGCTTGTCAATCTCTCTTCAATTGTGGTGCCCAGAATTGGACACAATATTCCAGGTGTGGTCTGACCAAGGCAGAATAGAGGGGTAGCATGACTTCCCTGGATCTATACACTATACTCCTATTGATGCAGGCCAAAATCCCATTGGCTTCTTTTGCCGCCTCATCACATCGTTGGCTGGTGTTTAACTTGTTGTCCATGAGGACTCCAAGGTCTTCACATTACTGCTCTCGAGCCAGGCATGTCCCCCATTCTTATCTTTGCATTTCGTTTTTTTTCTGCCAAAGGTGGAGTATCTTGCATTTGTCACTGTTGAACTTCATTTTGTTAGTTTTGGCCCATCTCTCTAATCTGTCAAGATCGTTGTGAATCCTGCTCCTGTTCTCTGGAGTATTGGCTCTCCCTCCCAATTTGGTGTCACCTGCAAACTTGATGATCCTGCCTTCTAGCCCTTCATCTAAGTCATTAATAAAGATCCTGAACAGGACCGGGCCCAGACCTGACTTTATTATTATTATTATTATTATTATTATTATTACTACTACTACTACTACTAACTGCCCCTGTGTATATGTGTATATGTGTTTTGTGTGTATATATATTTGTGTATATGTGTATATATGTGTTTTTGTGTAGATATGTGGTTTTGCGCATGCGTTGTAATGTATTTTTAAATTTTTGTCTTTTTAAGTCTTTTCTGCTGTGTTTTTCAGTGTTTTTATGAGTGATGATCACTTGTTGACCAATACGTGTCTTGTGTCCAAATGTGGTGTCAATTGCTCCAGTCGTTTTTGAGTTCTGTTAATCCCACAAACGAACATTACATTTTTATTTATATAGATTATGGTTATATTTACTTCTGTTATTATTCGGTGGCGCGTTAGATTCAAGTCAATACAGGGGAATCATATTCCTATCATGTAATCCTGTTTCTTCTCTGTGTCTTTTGCAGTCAACAGTGTGCGAGAAGATCATGGAGCTGCTGGGCCAGAACGAGGTAGACCACCGGCAGCGGAAGGTGGTCATCCTCAGCCAGGACCGCTTCTACAAGGCCCTCTCCACTGAGCAGAAGGCCAAGGCCCTCAAGGGACAGTACAACTTCGACCACCCAGGTATCCCCCCCCCTCTCTCTCTATATATATGTTTGTATGTATTTTCTAAGACAGTTCCCCCATTCAAGAGACCTGTGAACTCCATCGAAATTAAGTTAATCACGTTTGCCTTTACTTCTCAGCCACTTGGGAGGAAGCACAGAAGTCCAGGCTTACTCCTCAGTAGGTGATAGTAATAGTAATAGCAATCATAACAATGTAATATCATAATCTCAGCTACTTGGGTGTGATCTTAGAAGTCAAGGCTTACTCCTCTGTAGGTGATAATAATAGCAATCTCAATAATAATATAATATTATAATAATAAAATACAATAATAATATAACAATCTGTATAAATAAAAATGTAATGCTTGTTTGTGGGATTGTTGTTGTTGTTCATTCGTTCAGTCGTCTCCGACTCTTCGTGACCTCATGGACCAGCCCACCCCAGAGCTCCCTGTCGGCCGTCACCACCCCCAGCTCCTTTGTGGGATTAACAGAACTAAAAAACAACTGGACGAATTGACACCAAATTTGGACACAAGACCTAACAACCCAATGTATGTCCTTCACTCAAAAAAATGATTTTGTCATTTCGGAGTTGTAGTTGCTGGGATTTATAGTTCACCTACAATCAAAGAGCATTCTGAACCCCACCAACGATGGAATTGAACCAAACTTGGCAAACAGGACTCCCATGACCAACAGAAAACACTAGAAGGGTTTGGTGGACAGTGTCCTTTGGTTCTAGAGTTGTAGTTCACCTACATCCAGAGTGTGGACTCAAACAACGATGGGTCTGGATCAAACTTGGCACAAATACTCAATATGCCAAATGTGAACACTGGTGGAGTTTGGGGAAAATAGACCTTGACATTTGGGAGTTGTAGTTGCTGGGATTTATAGTTCACCTACAATCAAAGACCATTCTGAACCCAACAATGGAATTGAACCAGACTTGGCACATAGACAAACAGAAAATGCTGGAACTGTTTGGTGGGCATAGACCTTGAGTTTGGGAGTTGTAGTTCACCTACATCCAGAGAGCACAGTGGCCTCAAACAATGATCAATCTGGACCAAACTTGCCATGAATACTCAATATGTACAAATGTGAACACTGGTGGAGTTTGGGGAAAATAGAATCTTGACATTTGGGAGTTGTAGTTGCTGGGATTTATAGTTCACCTACAATCACAGAGCATTCTGAACCCCACCAACGATAGAATTGGGCCAAACCTCCCACACGGAACCCCCATGTGGGCCACAGCAACGCGGGCAGGGGACCGCTAATATAATAATAATAGGATAATAGGATAATATGGGTCCCCTGGTGGCGCAATGGGTTAAAACCACTGAGCTGCTGAACTTGCTGACCGAAAGGTCGGTGGTTTGAATCCAAAGAGTGAGCTCCCATTGTTAGGCACAGCTTCTGCCAACCTAGCAGTTCAAAACATGCAAATGTGAGTAGATCAATAGGTACTGCTTCTGCGGGAAGGTAACAGTATTCCATGCAGTCATGCTGGCCACATGACCTCGCAGGTGTCTACGGACAACGCCGGCTCTTCGGCTTTGAAATGGAGGTGAGCACCACCCCGCAGAGTCGGACTCGACTAGACTTAATGTCAAGGAAAAGTTTTTACCTTTACATTGTCATATAATACCCGTTTTCTGCAGATGCATTTGACAACGAGTTGATGCAGACAACCCTGAAGAACATTGTGGACGGCCAGACTGTAGAGGTCCCGACTTACGACTTTGTGACCCATTCCAGGTTCGTGTCCCTTTTCTAATGTGTGACTTTTGGCCATGCTGGTTGGAGAGGAAAGGAATGTTGGGTCTCAGTACCTTCGAAATGGCACAACGGCTTATTTACGAAGCCTGAGTATTATGATTGTTATTATTATCTTTATTTATATCCCACCAAATCTTGGCTTTGGAATATAGCATTTGATGAGTGAGTCAATAACTCTTGACCACATGGACGGATGGTGATGAATTGTGATTTCATTCTGATGACTTGGCCGTATGTAATACGTTTGTATTTTTAATGTATTTTATGGATTATGTATTATGAGGTGTGATGTTTTTATACTATTGGTTATGAATCTCTTCGGAGGTCGAGAAGACCGGGTTATAAAAGCCCTAAATAAATAAATGAATGAATGAACGAACTGAGCAATACAAACGTTTAAAAACAATTAAATAGTAACTGTGGTAAAAACACAATTAAAATACAGTAAATATACCAAAATGGCCTTTAAAACTTATGAATATTAAAATTCTTGCTGCTAAACAAGGTTCTTGGGGCAATTTAGACATTTGAAGAGTTGGAAAGGACCCCAAGAGACATCTGTGTGTATTTATATACATTATTATTATTATTATTATTATCCTGTTTTTACTCTCTAAGGAAGAGACACAAAGCAGTTCACATGGCAGAGGAAAAAGCTGAGTATAAATACATATAATAAGTGATATTATTTTTTTATGATTTATAAAAATTTAATAATGATAGATAAGATTATTATTATTATTATTTATATCCTACTTTTTCTCACTATGAAACAGACATCAGTGCAATTTGCTGGCCACCTTGCTTTTTATCATCCAAGGCTTCAGACACAGTTGTTTCTGCTTCAGTAGCAGCTCTTATCTTTATTTACATTTCATTCATTGCAATAACATGGTCAGATGCAAGGGAGAAGAGCCAAGAGAAAGAACAATGGTGTCTGCGATATTTATACGCCACTGTTATTAATTCAGTGTCCATCCTCCCAGTCTATTGCAACATCTTCCTTGTCTGTTCCAAGCATGCTTCATAATGCTCCACAAATTAACTCTTTCACAGCTAGCAGCATGGACATTTTAAACTTGTACAATCTATATATTGACATTACACTGATAAGAGACTTAAAGCAGTTCACAAGGTAGAGAAAAAGCTGGGTACTATAGTTACTATAATAATAATTGATATTATTATTAATTATATATAAACATAATAATAAACACCATCTCCTTGGTTCACCGAGGAGCTGGCTGTGATGAAACGCACGAGAAGGGGGCTAGAGTGCAAATGGAGGAAATCTCGAGACGTATCTGACCAAGCACGGGCTAAAGCCTCTTAGGGCTTATACCGTGGCTATATGGGTAGCCAGGGAGTCTTTCACAACTGCCCGTATAGCATCTGCATCTAATAGATCTTTGGAGCTGTTTCGGGTTGTCGGGGAACTCCTTCACCCACCGGTGGTGGAGGAGACCTTCGATGACCCAACAACTCAGTGTTGCGAGTTTGCACCCCATTTTGCAGGCAAAGTTGCTCAGATACGCCTTGAGTTGGACTCCAATTTCATCACAGTGCCAGGGGAGGTGACTGAGGCATCTGCTTGTCGAATTTTGTGGGATTCTTTCAGGCTTGTTCTTCCTGAGACCGTGGAGGAGGTCCTTGGTGCTGTGAGGACCACGTCGGCTTTAGACCCTTGCCCGTCTTGGCTAATTAAATCGGCCAGGGATGGGTTGACTGATTGGTTTGTGTTGATCATTAATGCATCATTGGAGCAGGGGGTTTTTCCATCTCGACTAAAACAGGCTGTGGTCTGACCCCTCCTGAAAAAGGCTTCCCTTGACTCCATGGTGCTGAACAACTACAGACCAATCTCCAACCTCCCTTTCTTGGGCAAGGTGCTGGAGCGGGTAGTCGCTTCCCAGCTCCAGGGCTTTCTGGATGACATCAACTACCTAGATCAGTCACAGTCTGGTTTCAGGCCTGGCCACGGCATCGAGACGGCTTTGGTCGCCTTGGTGGATGACCTCCGCAGGGAACTGGACAGTGTGACCCTGTTGGTTCTCTTGGACATCTCAGCGGCTTTCGATACCATCGATCATGGTATCCTTCTGGGACGACTCTCTGGGATGGGTCTCGGAGGCACAGTTCTGTCCTGGCTCCGGTCCTTCCTGGAGGGCCGATCCCAGATGGTGAAGCTGGGAGACGCCTACTTGGACCCTTGGGGTCCCCACAAGGCTCTATTCTGTCTCCCATGCTTTTTAACATCTACATGAACCCGCTGGGAGAGGTCATCCGGAGTTTTGGAGTTGGGTGCCATTTCTACGCAGATGACACACAACTCTACTACTCATTTCCACCTAATTCCAAGGAAGCCCCTCAAGTGCTGGACGAGTGTCTGGCCGCTGTGGCTGTCTGGATGAGGATGAACAAGATGAAGATTAATCCCGACAAGACAGAGGTCCTCCTGGTCGATCGTAAGCCGGGTCGGGGTATAGGGTGGCAACCTGTGCTGGATGGGGTTACACTCCCCCTGAAGTCACAGGTCCGCAGTTTGGGTGTCCTCTTGGATTCATCACTTACGCTTGAAGCTCAGGCGTCGGCGGTGGCCGGGAGGGCTTTTGCACAATTAAGACTTGTGCGCCAACTGCGACCGTACCCCGTGAAGGCGGATCTGGCCAGGGTGGTCCATGCCTTAGTCATCTCCAGATTGGACTACTGTAATGCGCTCTACGTGGGGCTGCCCTTGAAAACGCCCAGAAATTCCAACTGGTCCAACGGGCGGCGGCCAGGTTGTTAACTGGTGCTCCTTACAGAGAGAGGTCAACCCTCCTGTTTAAGGAGCTCCATTGGCTGCCGTTCATTTTCCAGTCCCAATTCAAGGTGCAGGTGCTTACCTACAAAGCCTAAACGGTTTGGGACCCGCCTACCTGCGTGACCGCATCTCTGTATATGAACCCACACGATCTCTCCGATCATCTGGAGAGGCCCTGCTCACGATCCCACCTGCGTCGCAAGCGCGATTGGTGGGGACGAGGGACAGGGCCTTCTCCGTGGTGGCCCCCCGACTCTGGAACTCTCTCCCCAAGGACATCAGACAAGCTCCAACATTGGCAGTCTTTAGGAAGAGCTTGAAGATGTGGTTGTTCCAGTGTGTCTTCCCAGAATAGGAAACTCCAAGCATCATGTCCCAATGCACTTTACCAGAGATTTAAGATTGTCTGCACACTGCACCTATCTCCAAAAACCTATCCATTTCACCTGTCATGTCCAGCATTTTTAAAATTTTTAATCATTACATTTGGCCCGGCCTTAGTTTTTAAATGCGTTGTGGTGTTATTGTCTAATGTTTATTGCTATTGTTTTAATGTTTATTGCTTTGTTTTATGAGTTTATTTATTGTTGTATTTGTTATGCTGTTGTTTTACTGAGGTATTGGGCCTCGGCCTCTTGTAAGCCGCACCGACTCCTTCGGGAGATGTTAGCGGGGTATAAATAAAGGTTTATTATTATTATTATTATTATTATTATTATTATTATTATTATATTTTAAAGTTTTATAAATAAAGGTTTATTATTATTATTATTATTATTATTATTATTATTATTATTATTTATATCCCACTTTTTCCTCTCTATGAAAGAGACTCAGAGTGGCTCACATGGCAGAGAAAGAGTAGGGTATAAATTCAAATAATACTTGTATGCATATATAATTTACTAAAAAAAATTATTGTTTATATCCTGCTTTTTCTCAGGGCGGCTCACAACGAAACCCAATGCAATTCAAACCTAAAAATATACAAACATTAAAATGGAATTGAACATGAATAGTATTTAAAAATAAGCAATTAGAATCAATTAAATGTGACCACATATTAAATGTGAAACATCCTGAATGCATGGTAACATAAACCATGCCAAAGAGAGGATCCTAACATTCTCTGCTCTGGAATAGGACAGAAGTTCTTTCTAATGCAGGTTGATGGGAGTTATAGTCTACCAGTACCTTGGATGGAGGGCTTCTGGGGACGACTGGGTTCTACTGAGCCACTTCCTACTTGGCTTCCTTCCCCACAGGCTTCCAGAGACGACGGTGGTTTACCCTGCGGATGTGGTCCTCTTTGAGGGCATCTTGGTCTTCTACAACCAGGAGATCCGGGACATGTTCCACCTCCGCCTCTTTGTTGACACGGATTCGGATGTCCGGCTCTCCCGCAGGGGTAAGGCCTGCATTTGGCTACATTGTCCTCAGAAATTGGGACATCTTTTTGGCCACTTCATTGGAGGAGCTCTGAACACACTTACCCTTTTCTGGGCCATCGGGGGAATATTATTATTTTTGTTCTTGCTGTTTCCCACTTTTTTGCTGATAAAAACAGAACAGTTGTCCCATTCTGGTGTCTTCTGAGCTATTTTTTACTGCATTTCTGGAAATAATAATAATAATAATAATAATAATAATAATAATAATAATAATAATAATAATAATAATTGTTGTCCACCTCTCTGCTCAAAATTGGGGCAGTTGGTCCATTCTGGTATCCTATTGGCCATGTCATTATTTATAATATAATATTAAAACCTACTACTCTCTGAAAGGAGAGGTGTTTAATAAACAAAAAAATCTGTATAAATAAAAATGTAATGTTCGTTTGTGGGATTAACATAATTTAAAAATGACAAATTGACCAAATTTTGACACGATACATCTTATCAGGCCAATGAGTCGCCATATGACTGAGAAAGGCGGGATATAAATATCGTAAGTAAATAAATAAATAAATGAGTGGCCATCACTTATAAAAACACTGAAAAACACAGCAGAAGAGACTTTAAAAGCAAAAAAACCCCAAAAATACATACAAAGTATGCGCAAAACCACATATATACACAAACACACATATATACACAGATACACACATATACGCATATATACACACACAAAACACATATATACAGACTGGGCCACAGCAATGCGTGGCAGGGAACGACTAGTTTCTAATAATATTATATTATGAATTACATATAATAACAGTAGTAGCAATAACACTGGTCTCTGAAAGGAGAAGCAGATAATAAATAATTTAAATAATACTATATTATGAATTATATATATAAACATTTATTTTTTATTTATTACCTGCCTCTTTTTTTTCAGAGACCAGTAATATTGCTACTATTATGATATATTATTCATACAACTCCCTTCATGCCAGATTAACCTCCATCAGTCTTTAAAGTTTGTTACGGTGAGCAAGTTTGCTCTAGATGCATCATGGGTGGGGTTCAGTGTGCTCTTTGGCAGTAGGGTAAACTACAGCTCCCACTATGGTGAGTCTGTCCCCTCTAGTAGGTTGAGTGAGTCCTGGGTTTCTGTGTGCCATGTTTGGTCCAGATCCATCTTCGGCGGAGGTCACCATTTCTCAGGTTGTGGGTGAACTACAACTCTCAGAAAGAAAGGTCAGTTCCGCCCAAACCCTTCCAGTAATCAAATTTAGACATATTGGGTATGCATGCCAAGTTTGGTGTTTGGGTCCATCAGTGTTTGGGTCCACGGTGCTCTCTAGATGTAATAATAATAATAATAATAATAATAATAATAATAATAATAATAATAATAATAATTTAAGATTATTATTATTATTTTTACTGTGCTTTTGTGTCAGCAAAATAATAATAATAATTAAGATTATTATTATTATTATTATTATTATTACTGTGCTTTTGTGTCAGTAAAATAATAATAATAATAATAATAATAATAATAATAATAGTGGGTTGTTGTAGGTTTTTCCGGGCTATATGCCCATGTTCTAGAGGCATTTTCTCCTGACGTTTTGCCTGCATCTATGGCAAGCATCCTCAGAGGTAGTGAGGTTACTATTATTACTATAATAATAGTAATAGTAATCTTTATTTATACCCTGCCACCATCTCCCCTAAAGGGGACTCGGGGCGGCTTACATGCGACTGGATGTAGGTGAACTACAACTTCTATAAATCGCTCCAAAGACTTGTTTGTTTATTTTCATCATTGGGATTCTGCTTGCCAAGTTAGTTCCCGTTGAATCATTGATGGAGTTCAGAATGCTCTTAGATTGCAGGTGAACTATACATCCCAGTGCCTACAACTCCTATAAATTATGGTGAATTCTCCCCAATCCTCTCCAGTATGTTCAGTTGCTGATCAATTCCTTTGTTTGCTGTGTGCCATAGAAAAGAACAGGAAAGGGTTAAGGGAGAGACAGTGGGCAGGGTCATGCAAATTCCACACCAATGGAGAGTGTAAGGAACTGGGGTGCCTATGGTGGAGGAAACAAAGTCTAGGATGAACTTGTCGCCGAATGAAAGCCTTCCCTTGGGTGGTGGGCAGTGTTATGTTCGTGGACGACACTGGCCGGGCTCTTGGACATGTTCACAGCACTCCCTATAATCTGTAATGTCAATGGAGGGAGAGCCATTGGTGTTTCCTGAGTAGTGGGAGCTATAGCTGTTTGTGGATGTGGGAGCTTGTCTCATTTGGGTTGGACCCCTTCTTTGGCTCATCCTTGCTTTTTCTACTCTTGCCGTAAGACCAACCCGGCCTTTGCATTCCTCCCCTTGCAGTTCTCCGGGACATGAAGCGGGGACGGGACCTGGAGCAGATCCTGACGCAGTATACCACCTTCGTCAAGCCGGCCTTTGAGGAGTTCTGCTTGCCGGTAATGGGAGCCCTGTCTTCTTTTCCCATTAAAAGCGGGGGAAGTCGTTGGAAGGGGAGAGGGAAGTCCCTACTTGTATATGTGAAGCTTCATCTCAGGAAGTTTCCAAACACGATGGTTTTATGGCCATGATCACAACCCAGAGTATTGTGATTGCGACCGGATAAAATACCACATTGATGTGAGTCTGATGCGCCATCAAATCTAATGTGAACCTCCATTTGCAAAACCAAAAAAAGTATTTTCTGCCAAATGAAATGCGCAAAAAGCATCAAAAAGTGTTAGGACACCAAAGCTTCCACCAGTAGAATGAATCCACTGTAATTGCCTTGGTTCAATGCTATGGAGTCATGCAGGCTATAGTTTGACATTTACTGTGTATACTCGAGTATAAGCCTAGTTTTTCAGCCCTTTTTTAGGTTGAAAAAGTCCCCCTCGGCTTATACTCGAGTCAAGATTATTTATTATTTTCCTCAAAATTTCATTATAAATGGCAGTTCCTAATTGGTTCTGTCATAAAAATTAGCCAATAATGAAATAATAATCAAATTTTCCCCACCAGAACTTTAGTTTTATAAGTACTTTAGAACCATGCATTGCCCAGGCCTAATTAGTATTATAATATTATATGTATATACAACATTATATTATATTATATTATATTTTTATTTTATTTTATATTTTATTTTTGAGCCTTATCTTGATGCCTCACCAAACTACAAATCCCAGAGTCACATAGCATTGAGTTAATGCAATTAAATAAGAAGTGACGTCCCTCAAAGAGGAGCTTCTGAAGCAATTTCCCCTTTGGCTTTGGCTCAGCACTAAAATGAGCCAAATCTAATCTAATGCACATTCTAATTTTGGCCAGTTTATTTGGCCAAAAAAAGTGAAAATTAGGTTCAAGTAAATAGGGTGGTGTGTGTGTATGTGTGTGTGTGTGAGGAATGACTTGAGAAACCGCAAGTTGCTTCTGATGTGAGAGAATTGGCCGTCTGTAAGGACGTTGCCCAGGGAACGTTGACCGGATGTTTTGATGTTTGACTATCCTTCTCTCATGTCTCCGCATGGGAAGCTGGAGCCGACAGAGGGAGCTCATCCGCACTCTCCCCGGATTTAACCCATTGCGCCACTGGGGGCTCTGGGCATATAATAATACTGTTGGGGTTTATTTCTAGGACGTTTACTTTATTGTTGCTGCTCCTGCTCTTAAGAGATGATGGTGGCTTCCTAGTGAGACTCCGCCTTGTGTTTCTTACCTACAGACCAAGAAATACGCGGATGTGATTATCCCTCGGGGAGTGGACAACATGGGTAAGAAAGAGGCCTGCCATGTTGAGCTTCCTTGGTTGCTGGGGGTACATGATAGAACCAGATTTCCCTGATTTCTATTTTTTATATATATATAGATATAACAATTGCATTGCCTTCTGGTTTGTTGACTGTAGTAAAGGCAGGCCGCTGTGGTATACCTCTGCTGGAAGTTAGCATGGAGACTCAGTGGAGGGCCTAGCCCAGGCATGGGCCAACTTCGGCCCTCCCTCCAGGTGTTTTGGACTCAAACTCCCACCATTCCTAACAGCCTTTGGCACTTTCCATTTCCCCCTCAGCAAACCACTCTACCCATTTCCCAAGCCAAGGCACTGTATTTGTATGCAAAGAGAGGGGATTTCCTGCCAGCCCAGATAAATCTAAACTCGTTTATCTATCTATATCAGGCATGAGCAAACTTGGGCCCTCCCTCCAGGTGTTTTGGACTCCAACTCCCACAATTCCTAACAGCCTCAGCTTCTTAAACATTATATCTATCTATCTATTGGGACATGAAAGACGGCCTCTCTCACGTCTATACCTCTTATCAACAAGCCTAAGTGGTTGAGAGGGAAAAGGAAAGTGCCCGAGGCTGTTAGGAATGGTGGGAGTTGCAGTCCGAAACATTAAATTGCCTCGCCAAAAGGGGAGTGCACATTAAGATTTGTGTAATGTGATCATCTTAGTGCTGAGCCAAAACGAAAAGAGAAGTTGCTCCGGGAGCTGGTCTTTAAGGGACCTCATCTCTCCATTTATTTGTTATAGTTTAATACTATGCAATGCTGGGATTTGTGGTTTGGTGAGTCATCCACACTCTTTAGCAGAGAAGGCTCCAGATTTTGCAAAACTGCAATCCCCAAGGATTCGTTAACATTGAATCAAGGCAATTAAAGAGGATTTATTCTGAAGTTTAAGCGGCCGAGAGGGAAAAGGAAAGGGCCTGAGACTGTTAGGAGTGCTGGGAGTTGGAGTCCAAAACACCTGGAGGGAGGGCCTAAGTTTGCTCATGCCTGATATAGATAGATAAACGGGGTTAGATTTATCTGGACTGGCAGGAAATCCTTTCTCTCCGCATACAAACACATTGCCTTGGCTTGGGAAATGGCCAGAGGGGTTTGCTGAAAGGAAAAAGGGCCTCTGTTAGGAATGCTGGGAGTTGGAACCCAAAACACCTGGAGGGAGGGTCCAAGTTTGCTCATGCCTGATATAGATAGATAAACGGGTTTAGATTTATCTGGGCTGGCAGGAAATCCTTTCTTTCCGCATACAAACACATTGCCTTGGCTTGGGAAATGGCCAGAGGGGTTTGCTGAGGGGGAAAAGGGCCTAAGGCTGTTAGAAATGGTGGGATTTGGAGTCCAAAACACCTGGAGGGAGGGCCCAAGTTTGCTCATGCCTGATATGAACGGGTTTAGATTTATCTGGGCTGGCAGGAAATCCTTTCTCTCTGCATACAAGCACATTGCCTTGGCTTGGGAAATGGCCAGAGGGGCTTGCTGAGGGGGAAAAGGGCTTAAGGCTGTTAGGAATGGTGGAAAGTCCAAAACACCTGGAAGGAGGGCCGAAGTGGGTCCATGCCTGCTGTACACCATCACTGATGCGCCATGCTGAAGTTGGCCCATGCCTGGGCTGCCAATGGGGAGAGAGTCTGTGTTGTAATGTGCTTGCTGTGCTTGTGCAGTCTGCTCACACCCACTCTCTCTCCCTCTCGCAGTGGCCATCAACCTGATTGTGCAACACATCCAGGACATCCTGAACGGGGACCTCTGCAAGTGGCAGCGGGGGGCCCTCAACGGCAGCCGCTCCTCCAAGCGGCCCTTTCCGGAACAGTCTGAGAACGGAGCCCTCCTGGCGCCGGGGAAGCGCTCCCACTTGGAGTCTAGCAGCCGGCCCCACTGACCCCGGTGGGGCCCTCGGATTAAGGACTCTGGAATGAGCCCTTTGAGACAGCGGGGGCTTGGCTTTGGGGAATTCCTGTTTCGGGAAGGTGAAGGAAGTCCCTCCGGAGCGGTCCATTTTTCCGACATAGGGGGTTTTGTGGGCTTTGTGTTTGCATTGTCCTCCTCCCCTTTCCTGTCTGATTCAGGGGCTGATGGCCTTCCAAGTACACCTTGGCCATAGTGAGAAGTGTTGAGTCTTTGTCCCAGAGTCCTTTCTAACCAAAGGAAGGATTAAACGACCCAAATCCCATAATGCAAGAATGATGGTCCTCCAAGTCTAGTGTCTTGGCGGTGGGTCCGCCCTATTCTTGACCCACATGTTCTCCCGCAGTGAGGACATCGGTTTCCAGACGGAAGGCAGTTGGCTTGACGCACCTTCCTCTTGGCGCATTTTTCCCTTTGGATTAATACCTCTTCAAATTCTGCATCACTGCTGGTCACAGCTGACCTCCAGCTAGTGCACTCAAGAGCCAGGGCTTCCCAGTTCTGTGTGTCTATGCCACTTTTGTGAAGGTTGGCTTGAAGCCCATCTTTAAATCTCTTTTCCTTAAATTCCATTAAATGGAAGACCTCGGCCAATTCATTGGAGCCTTTCCTATGTATAGAAAGGAGCCTTGCCCATATAGGTTACTGTTAGGTGTCTATGGGTGTATTGTCGAAGGCTTTCATGGCTGGAATCACTGGGTTGTAGGCTATATGGCCATGTTCTAGAGGCATTCTCTCCTGACGTTTCGCCTGCATCTATGGCAAGCATCCTCAGAGGTAGTGAGGTCTGTTGGAACTAGGAAAAAGGGTTTATATATCTGTGGAATGACCAGGGTGGGACAAAGGACTCTTGTCTGCTGGAGCTAGGTGTGAATGTTTCAACTGACCACCTTGATTAGCATTTGATGGCCTGGCAGTGCCTGGGGCAATCTTTTGTTGAGAGGTGATTAGATGTCCTTCTTTGTTTTGCTGTTGTAATTTTAGAGTTTTTTAATACTGTCTATGGGTGTCTAGAGACACACACCTCCATAAACATAGATGAATGTATGGGAAAGAACCAAAGGGCTTGTGTTTGCCTTGTCCTTCTGCAGTTTTCCTGTCTGAGTGCAGGGGACAAAGGACGTCAAAGGCCAAAGCTTTGTCCGAAAGGAAGGATCTCCCCTTTGCTAAGCTGCTCAACCCCCTTTGAATTGAAGTCTTTTGCCCATCGGTTGGAGCGGTTAGCCATTCCCATGTATGGGAAGGAGCCATGGGGCTTGGCATTGGCATTGTCTGATTCAGGGGATGATGGGATTGGAAGGCGCCCCATTCGCCTTGGGCTTTGTCCCAGGGTCCTTGCTTCCAAAAGGAAGGGTTTCCCCTTGGATTAAACTGTGGCAATCAGTGGGACTGTGGAGTCGAAATCAAACAGGTATTGCATTGGGCTGTTGTAGGTTTTTTGGGCTATACAGCCATGTTCTAGAAGCATTCTCTCCTGACGTTTCACCTGCATCTATGTCAGGCATCCTCAGAGGCTGTGAGGTCTGTTGGAACTAGGAAAATTGGGTTTATATATCTGTGGAATAATGTCCAGGGTGGGAGAAAGAACTCTTGTCTGTTGGAGCTAGGTGGGAATGTTTAATAGCCTGGCAGTTTCAAGGTGTGGCTTGTTACTGCCCAGATGAATCTTTTGTTGAGAGGTGATTAGCTGTCCCTGAWTGTTTCTTGTCTGGAATTCCCCTGTGTTTGAGTTTTCTTCTTTATTTACTGTTATATATTGGTTACTATTAGGTCTCTATAAATAAAAAACAAAACTCAAACACAGGGAAACTCCAAAGAGGAAACAACCAGGCCCGAAAACCCAACAACAACCCAGGGATTCCAGCCATGGAAGCCAGAAACCACAACAAAACAAATAAATGGTATACAAAATCTTGACAAGGTTGGGTTGTTTTATTTAAAAAATAGTAACTTACACAGCACAGTGCCCCTCCCTTTTATTTATTTATTGTTGTGGGGTGTTTTTTTTGGGGGGGGGGGCTGTGTTAGCACCTGAGAAACTGCAAGTTGTTTCTGGTGTGAGAGAATGGACGTTGCCCAGGGGACGCCCGGATGTTTTGATACTTTATCATTCATGTGGGAGGCTTCTCTCATGTCCTCTTTGCATGGGGAGCTGGAGCTGACAGAGGGAGCTCATCTGCACTCTTCCCACATTCGAACATGTGACCTGTCAGTCTTCAGTCCTGCCGGCACAAGGGTTTAACCTACTGCGCCACCGGGGGTGCCAGCCACATAGATATAGCCTGCTATGTGCTTTTGTGTATCTATGTGCATGTGCATCCATATATCTGTCTGTGGGTGTCTGTGTCACCTATATATAATTAACATTTTGTGTGTGTGTGTGTGTGTGTAGACATACAGACATTTCTCACCTACATCTATTGGTTACTATTAGAGCCATTCAGCAGTGGAACTCTCTGCCCTGGGGTATGGTGGAGGCTCCTTCTTTGGAAGCTTTTAAACAGAGGCTGGATGGCCATCTGTCAGGGGTGCTTCAAATGCAATATTCCTGCTTCTTGGCAGGATGGGGTTGGACTGGATGGCCCATGAGGTCTCTTCCAACGCTTTGATTCTATTAGGTCCCTATATATTTCTATATATAGATATTGAATAGTAACTAATAGATGTATATAGGTGAAAGATGTCTGTGTGTCTATACACACAGACACCCATAGACATAGATATATGGATGTGTACACACATCGAGAACCACATAGGCACCCAGCAGGATATATCTTATCTAATTCTGTGTGTGGGCCTGTATGTGTGTGTATACGCACACACATCCAGACACCTCACTTACCCATATAGGTTAGTATTATGTGTCTATGGGTGTCTAGAGAGAGACACCCATAAACATAGATATATGAATGTGCACACACATAGAGAGAGGCACATAGGGTGTGTATGTGTGTGTGTGTGTATATATATAGATATAGATATATATATTGCTAATTGTAGAAAATGGGTGTATGCAGTTCTATGTGTGTGCATGTATATGTGTGTAGATATACACATATAGATCGCTTCCCCATCTATGGTTTACTATTAGGTGTGTCTGGGAACATCTATATAAAAACACACCCACAGACATAGATATATGGATGCACATGCACACAGATCCACAAAGGCACAAGGCAGGCTATATCTATCTGGCTGGAAGTCCCGGTGGTGTAGTGGGTTCAACCCTTGTGCCGGCAGGACTGAAGACCAACGGGTCGCAGGTTCAAATGCGGGGAGAGTGAGGATGAACCCCCTCTGTCAGCTCCAGCTCCCCATGTAGGGACATGAGACAAGCCTCCCACACGAATAACAAAACATCAAAAAAAATGGGCAACATTCTTGCAGACGGCCAATTCTCTTACACCAGAAGCGACGTGCAGTTACACAAGTCGCACCTGACACCGGAAACACACACACACATACACACCTCTTGCTTCCCCATATACATAGATATATGGATGCATGTGCACATAGATCCACGAAGGCACATAGCAGGCTCTGGCTAGTTGTAGAAAATGTGCCTATGTGATTCTGTGTGTGTGTATGTATATATATACATACATACACACACCCCACAGACACCTCTCACTTATTATTAAGTCTCTCTCTCTCTCTCTCTCTCTCTCTCTCTCTCTATATATATATATATACACACACACACACATACACACACACATACATATAGAGAGAGAGACACCCATAGACATAGATATATGGATTCACACACACATAGAGCCACATAGGCACACAGCAGGATCTGGTTAATTGTAGAAAATGTGCCCATGTGATTGTGTGTGTGCATTTATATTTGTGTATGTTATACACACACACAACTATATATGCACACACACAGAATCACATGGGCACATTTTCTACAATTAACCAGATTTGTTTGTGTGTATGTGTATATATACACACACACACACAGACACCTCTCATCCATATATATACATATACATCTATGGGTTATTATTAAGTCTCTCTCTCTCTCTCTCTCTCTCTCTCTCTCTCTCTCTATATATATATATATATATATATATACACACACACACACAAAGAGACACCCATAGACATAAATATATGGATGCACACACACATAGAGCCACTTAGGCACATAGCAGGATCTGGCTAATTGTAGAAAATGTGCCCATGTGATTCTGTGTGTGTGCATATATATGTGTGTATGTATATATTTGTTTATGTGTATATGTAACCCAGCTGTGGGTTCCCTTCTGAAGGTGAGATTAGCTCCAATTACTGTGGTTGTAGCACTCTTTAAACTTTGGTGATACTGGGTTAATGTTCTTTTTTTTATTGCACACACAGACACCTCTCACCCATATATATATACATATACATCTATGGGTTATTATTAAGTCTCTCTCTCTCTCTCTATACACACACAGAGGGACACCCATAGACATAAATATATGGATGTGCACACACATAGAGCCACATAGGCACATAGCAGGATCTGGCTAATTGTAGAAAATGTGCCTATGTGATTCTATGTGTGTGTGTATATGCATGTATTATGTGTGTGTGTACACACACACAGATACCTCTCACCCATATACAAATATGGGTGTCTATATATAGCCAGCAACCCTCATAGAGCTACACATATATAGATATCTGGATGTGATTTCTCTCTATATGTGTGTATAACATCTCTGTATGCACACACGCACCTACATATGTATATATATTTGCCCCGGAGTGTGGTGGAGGCTCCTTCTTTGGAAGCTTTTAAACAGAGGCTGGATGGCCATCTGTCGGGGGTGCTTTGAATGGAATATTCCTGCTTCTTGGCAGAATGGGGTTGGACTGGATGGCCCATGAGGTCTCTTCCAACTCTTTGATTCTATATCAATCTGAGGTGGTGGCATAAGGCCAGACTGGCTGCTGCCAGGAGTCCCTTCCACCGTTGTGCAAGGAGTAAGTCTTGGTTGTGGATCTTGGTTGCTGCAGCATGTCCCGTGGCGTGTGCTCAGTCCCGGCCCGCTGGCCCTCCTGCCCTTCCTCAGGGTTGGCGCTGCTGCCTCCGGATGAGGAGGTCCCAGCTGTCCTTCCAGCGCAGGCTCCGGAGGCCGGCGGCCGAGAGTGGGGGCTCCCCGTATGTCAGCGGCCAGAAGGAGTGGTGAGTCAGGCAGACCGAGGACAGCCAGGCCGCCACAAGGGCACGCAGCATGCTCTGGGAGAGGCGGGACCTGCCGAAGCAGAAGCAACAGACGACCATCAAGTCAAACAGGGGCATGCCAAGAATGGGTAACTTGGAAGTCCCTGAATAGACTCAGAAGTGGAGACAGCAGATCAAAAGGGAACCTGGCAAAATGGCACGACCGAAAAGAATCCCACACCTCGTGTGACTGCAGAGCAGAATAGACAATTCCGCATCTGTATGCTTGTCCACTATGCCCTGCCTCATGTACAGAGGAAGAGTTGTTGGAGGCTACAGACAATGCCGTTGCTGTTGCCCGTTATTGGTCAAATATATTTAACTGCCTGCGCACCTTCTATTTTTATCAGTTTTATACTAATCTATGCAATGCTTTTGATACTAAATAAATAACAAATTGTATTTACTATTATTAGTAGTATTATTAGTATTAATATCTTTATTTATACTCCCGCCTTTCTTCTCATAGGGACTCATCAAAGATATGAGTCCCTATGAGACTCATACCTTTGATGAGCTGTCCTGAATCCTTACAAGGAGAAAGGCAGGGTATAAATATAATACTAATAATAGTAATAGTAATGATATTTGTTAGCTGTCTTCTTCTTCTTCTTCTTCTTCTTCTTATTATTATTATTATTATTATCTCGTAAAGTTCCTAACAGAGCGACACTTCAATTTTGTTGTTTGCTGCCTGACCAGGGTTTGCAGGGAAATGACAACCAAAATCTTCACAACAGAGGGCCATTCAACCTAACAGACATCTGCAGGTTTGAACCCAGACAATAAATTTCCCGAGGTGAGTGTGGCCATCCTACCTGCAGAGGTGGTCGCTGATGTGTTGGAGGACGACAGGGACCAGGAGGATCTGGAAGGTGAGGGCCGGCAGGTAGTGGTAGAGGAAGAGGGTCTTCTCCATCAGGAAGAAGGGCAGGTAGTTGAGGGCCCAGCCGCCCAGGAAGAGGCTCCCCGCCAAGACCCACTGCTCCCAGGCCTCTGTGGGGGGAAAAGGGGAGCCTCTGTCAGACCTAATATTTATGGGACATACAGTGTTTATGGCGGGTGTTGCGTTCCAGGATCACCTGAAAAAGTGAAAATCCGCCAAGTAGGGACGCTATGTATTTATATCGCGTTTTGAGGGTGACTTGTGATGGCACTTACCATCGGGGATGTCGCAGACGCCCCGCCTCCGCCGCAGGAGGTACCACAAGAAGAGGGCCAGGTAGGCGGCCACAGCCACGTTGGCTGAAGTCCAGGTGGCCATGTTGCCCAGTAGGTGGATCTGGGCCTGTTGGGGAAGAGAGAAGCCTCATGGATGAGAATATCTATCGTGACCAACCATTGCTGACAACTAGGCCAGAGAGCAAGAGATAAGGCACATGAGCATCTGCAGACCTTCCAGATGCTCAGGTGCGTCTGACCATCAATGGAGGAGGAAATACAGAAGATAGAGATACAGATATAGATAGCGCTTCCACTTCTCGAATTCTATCATTGATAGATAGGTATAGATATAGACATACATGCAGATATAGAGGAGTTTGGGCCTGATGGTCCTTAGGGTCCCTTCCAACTCTAGGATTCTATGATGACAGATAGATAGCCCTTGGGGTTATCTTCCAACTTTATGAGACAGTGTTCCCTCACTTATTGCGGGGGTTCCATTCCAGGACCACCCGCGATAAGTGAAAATTCGTGAAGTAGGGACACGCTGCCCACTCGGCACAGCCCTCTTCAGCGGCGACCTCCTTCTCCTCGCTGCCTCCGCTGCTCCCCGCCTCGGAGGCCACTTGGGCACCGTTGATGACACTGCCAGGCTGGGCTGAGGCCTGGTCTAAGGCCTCAGTCTAGCCTAGCAGTGGTCTGAACAGCACCCAAGGGGCCTCCAAGGAAGGAGCAGGGAGCAGCGGAGGTGGCGAGGAGGCCGCCGCCGAAGATGGTCGCGCCGAGGCCAAGCACCAGGGTAAGGCCCAGTGCCTGTCTCCCCTTCCCCTCCTCCTCCCCCAACGCAACTCCCTGGGGGGGGGGAGAAGAAAAACCCACGAAACAAGCAAACTAAGCAAACCACGAAGTAGCGAGGGAACACTATAGATAGAAACATACATACTGTAGCTTCCTGACAAGGAAATTACCTCATGAACAAAGTAGGAAGGCTTTCTTCAAAAGCATACATTACAGTACGAAACAAAATTCCAACTGGCAGTTTATTTCCTCTCCCTTGTTTCAAATATACACAGAGCAGGTCTAATTTCCTGGCTTCACATACAGGAGATTGGACTACATGACCCTTGGGAGTCCCTCCCACCTCTGTGACTTTGGCCCACTCTGGATAATCTACCTAATGGCCTGCATCGCAATATACTGCTACATGTTCCAATGCACAACATTGTAGCCCAGTCTGCAGAAGGAATATTCAGAGCACGTTCAGAGCGAACCACGAAGTAGCAAGGGAATACTATAGATAGAAACATACATACTGTAGTTTCCTGACAAAGAAATTACCTCATGAACAAATTAGGAAGGCTTTCTTCAAAAGCATACATTACGGTACGAAACAAAATTCCAACTGGCAGTTTATTTCCTCTCCCTTGTTTCAAATATACACAGACCAGGGCTATGTCATGGCCTAATTTCCTGGCTTCACATACAGGAGATTGGACTACATGACCCTTTGGGGTCCCTCCCACCTCTGCGACATTGGCCCACTCTGGATAATCTACATAATGGCCTGCAACGCAATATACTGCTACATGTTCCAATGCAGAACATTGAGGCCCAGTCTGCAGCGCACGTTTGTCATTGGGTGTCACGTAAACAGACCCGGTTTTGCATTGGTCAACGTCTTACCCCAGAGGAGGCCTGGAACCAGTAGGCGATGTTGGTCTCCATGGTGACCCAGTCCAAAGGGGAGGAGCTGTACTTGTGCTCTGCCTCCTCGTTCTTCAGCGTCAGGATCTTCCACTGAGAAAGGCCAAAGAGAGCGGCCAGAAGTTACGGATGTGCTGATCTACCGTATTGAGTCGCATCTAATGCTCACACCTTTTGCAGCTAAAGGACTGTGTTGATGGCACATTAGACTCGAGTTATTACGGTATATCATTGCAACCAAGACATGTTCCATTCATGTCTTTGGGGGTTATAGAACCCGGGAAGCCCCCTCAAACCCACCCCAAAGGGCCCGTTTACCTGCAGCTCCATGAACTTGGCCAGGAAGGAGAGGTTCTGCCCGATGCTGATCTGCGTCGGAGAATGCAGCTCTGCCTCCCGCTCCTTCGGCTCCTGGCCTGGAAATGGGGCCAACAAATACTATTATATTATAAATATATTATATTTATTTATACCCCGCTTTATCTCCCCAAAGGGGACTCAAAGCAGCTTATTTATTCACAGAATTTAAAATGTGAATAAATAAATGTTATTAATTAGCCCTTATTGGGTCTTGGCTCAGTGTGGGTTCCGGACTCACTCTTGCCATAGCGGTGCTCCTCCACGTTCCAGAGCATGCTCTGGTGGTGCCCCTTGGAGGCCTTCTCCCCCACCACCTCCAGCTGCCGGTAGCCCCATGCCGGGAGGGAGGCCCCGCTGAGCTGCAAAGGAGAGAAGCAGACGCAAATATCATATATAAGACCATGCATATATCGGATAGTATATATTCTATAGGAAAGAGGGAGGATAATGAGAACAAGACCTCCCGGGTAACCCCCCCCCCCCAAGTGAAGACTGAATTGCCAAAGCCCACCCACCTCCCCTTTTGTTTAATCACTAACTTTTATGGGAAAGAACAAGTCTACCATGAGATTTGCATGACACAAACAGATCTGCCTAGATTCAGGCGGAATCGGATGGTGTGGAGCCCTAAGTTCTGCCGCACCCCTTCCCTGCTGTTTAGGGGGCTCTCCATCTA